GAAACAGAGGGCCCTGGAAGGGAGGGAAGATTCAAGATAATCTAGTGAAAGCCAGAGGTGTAGGCAATCCTGCCAGTCAGATCAGAATCCAAGGCATACACTTCTACTTCCACCTCTTCCAAGAGTAAAACTGATAGGATTATCAATTTTTTCCACATTATTCCATTTATTCAGATTAGCAGCAGCAAATGCAACCAGAAAACACCAGGTAATTCACACTTTTTCTGTATTTTACCCTTCATAATAGTCAATAGTCAGTTTTCTTGGGGTTTCTCAGTACAATTCCCATCTGGATTGTAACTGGTTTCCTACTTTCTTAATAAATTCATATGATATTCTACTGTCGTCCCTTTACATTTGCATTATTTCAGAGTCATGGGCTGCTTCTTCATTGGCATGCACTGCTTCCCCACTGCCTAGTTAAGTGTCTTGAAAATAATAAAGGAACAAGAATGTTTTTAGATTCAATATAATTTTCCTTTTCATTTTCTTTTTCCTTCAGTATCCAAAAGTCCTATCATTTTCTTTCAATGGATTTGAGACTTTTTTCCATATGGCAAATATACTCACTTCACAAAACGAGCTGAACTACTTCAAAATAGCACGTATGAAATAACTGTAGAACATCTCCACTGAGCTGTTTTTAACTATCATGAGTTCCCATTCAACTAGTAGTTAGTGAACTCTTACAAAGCACTATGGTTATATAAAGACGTGAAAACACACACCACCTGATTTCCAGAAAATGTCTAATTTATTTGAAGTAAGACCCATTTACTTGAGAAAAGGGAAGCCACTATGTCTACTTTTACATTCACTGCTAAGCAGGGATTCCAGTTGGTGTTCTCTAAATTCTCACTTTCCAAAAAGGCAGTGGCACTTACTAAGTGCCTTTTGTATGCCAGGCATTGGGCTAGGAACTTCTGGGTGGCTTTCTGAATCCCCAAATAACCCCATGAAATATGAAAGACTTTTGGAAAGATTATTAGCAGAGAAAGCAACCTAAAAAACCATTTCACTTTGGGAGGTTGAAGTGGGAGGACCACGTGAGCCCAGGAGTTTGAGAGAATCCTCGGCAACAGTGTGAGACTCATAATTACAAAAAATTTTAAAATTAGCCAGGTGTGGTGGCATGTACCTGTAGTTCTAGCTACTTGGGAGGGTGAGGTGAAGAATTACTTGAGCTCAGGAGTTCAAGTCTACAGTAAGCTATGACTGTGTCACTGTACTCCAGCCTCGGCAACAGGAATACCCTGTCTCAAAAAAATAATAATAATAAAACTCTTTTCCCATTGATCTCCTCAACGCTGGATTCTGAGTTTTCCTAAATTAAGAAAACTGCTATAATCTTTCAAAGCTCAGTTTCTATGAGACAATTGGGTATTATTATTACATATACTAGAATCACATAAGAAGTTCATTATTAAACTTGGGGCTGTAAAATATTCTATGAAATATCTATCAACCAACAGATTCATTTTAGAGGGGTATTTTCAATATTTTATCCTTCTAAGGAAAATATTCTATAAGGGAACTAATTTCAAGATCATTTTTACTAAACACGCTGTCAATGGATTCTGTCGATTAGTGTCCCTGGACTAATATCGTCTTTATACATTTAGACTGACCTCTGCTGGAGAGTCTAATAACCTTTCAGCATTTTTTTTTCCTCTAAGATAATACGATTAGGAAAGGGGAATGCCCCTATCCTCTTTATTTTTTTTGAGACAGAGTCTTGTTCTGTCGCCAGGCTGGAGTGCAGTGCCTCCTGAGTAGCTGGGACTACAGGCGTGTGCCACCATGCCCAGCTAATTTTTGTATTTTTAGTAGAGACGGGGTTTAACCCTGTTGCCCAGGATGGTCTTGATCGCTTGACTTCCTGATCCACCCACCTCAGCCTACCAAAGTGCTGGGATTACAGGTGTGAGCCACCGCACCTGGCCCCTGCCCCCAATTTTATCTAGTATTTAATAACAGATTTACATAGTTCAATTTACAAATATTAATCAAGCCCTCTACACCACCTAATGGCAAAATCTTATATTGCATTTGGCTGCCAGAGATGTGCCCGGAGGCAGAGTGGGAAGCTGATGAGGTTACATGAGCTATCCAGTCTGAATGCTCCTTTTCATAGTCTCTTCCTCCTGTGCAGGCCAGGCTCTCTATTGTATACATAAAAATACCTGTGAAATGGGGCTGCTTCCAGGTGCCTGCCAGGGGCCAAACCACCGTATCTTCTGGGTTCACCTTAACACTAAAGTCTACCACTTTGTGGTGGTCACTTGTGCCCAAACTAGCCAGTATAGATAAGTCTGATTTGCTTGGTGCAAACAAGCTGAATTTTGATATAAAGTGCTAGGCTTCAATTTATATAAAATAGCAGATGAAAAACATGAATGATCCTGAAAATAAGTGATGCTTTTCCATTTCAAATACTCTTTTAAAACAATGCCTGCTTCTGATAATAAAAATTACATAATTATTTTTAAAATGCTATAAAGGAAAAAATTAAAGAAAAATTGCCTACAATTCCATCTACCAAGTTGTATTACAATTTTAGTTTATTTGTGCCAATCTCTTTTCTTTAAGTGTGTATGCGTAAGTATGGGTATTTCCCTACTTCACTCCATTTCATTCTGCAGCTTTCCTTTTTCACATATTGTATTGTGATTATTTCTCAAATAACACACTTTTTATTTTATGATGATACACCATCATTTATGCAACCAATGTCCTACTATTAAACATTGGGATTGTTTCTAAATAAAACTATGCTAAATGGCCTTTTATATAAATATCTGACCAAATATTTTATTATTTCGTTAGGATATATTCCCTAAATAAGCTCAGTGGGGCCTGGCACAGTGGCTCATGCCCGTACTCCCAGCACTCTGGGAGGCAGAAGCAAGAGGATAGCGTGAGTTCATGAGTTTGAGACCAATCTAGGCAACCTAGTGAGACCCTGTGTCTACAAAAACAAAATAAAAAATTAGGCGGGCATGGTAGCATGCACTTGTAGTCCTAGCTACTCGGGAGACTGAGGTGGGAGGATCACTTGAGCCCAGGAAGTCAAGAATGCAGTGAGCCATGATCATGTCATTGCACTCGAGCCTGAGCAACAGAGCTATCTTGAAAAAAAAAAAAAAGAAAGAAAGAAAGCTCAAGGGGTCAAAACTTACGGAGTATAAACATTTTCAAGGTTCAAATACACAACAATGCTAGAATTACTCTACAGAAATGTACCAATTTCAACTTCCATCAGCAGCATGGGAGTCTCCATTTTTACTTCCACTTCACCAAAATTCAGAATAATTTATAAAGTTCTTTGCCAAATGGATAGGCCAGGAAAAAAAATTTCCAGTATAACTAACATTCATATTTATTTATATTCATACTTTTATTGGGCATTTATATTTTTTCTGTGAATTATACATTCATGCCCTTTGCCCATTTTTCTATTGGTACTTTAATATTTTTCTTATATATGTTATTTATTTATTTTCAGATGGAGTCAGGCTAAGTCTGTGCCCAGGCTAGAGAGCAACGGCATGATCTCAGCTCATTGTAATCTCTGCCTCCAGGGTTCAAGCGATTCTCATGCCTCAGCTTCCTGAGTAGCTGGGATTACAGGAGTGTGCCACCATGCCCAGCTAACTTTTGCATTTTCAGTAGAGATGGGGTTTCACCATGTTGGCCAGGCTGGTCCTGAACTGCTGACCTCAAATGATGCGCCCACCTCGGTCCCCTCAAAGTGCTGGGTTTACAGGCGCCAACCACTGCACCCAGCCTGAGTTCTTTATATAATAAGGTTAACTCTGTTGGTCTCGATGTGGTAGCATGAACTTAGGTCACTAGTCCAAATATACCTGAAATTATTAGTTTGGGTGTGGTGTAACTTTACCTTTGGCTCAGTATATTCTTTCCAGGAAAAAAAAGAAAAATCCAACTCACAAAGTATACGACAAGCCCTACTAAATACTGGGGACACTTAGGTATTGAGTGGTCAAAAAATAAAATAGGAAGGGCCAGGCACAGTGGCTCACGCCTGTAATCCCAGCACTTTGGGAGGCTGAGGGGGGTGGATCACCTGAGGTCAGGAGTTTGAGACCAGCCTGACCAACAGGGCGAAACCCCGTCTCTACTAGAAATACAAAAATTGGCTGGGTGTGGTGGTGGGCACCTGTAATCCCAGCTACTCAAGAGGCTGAGGCATGAGAATCACTTGAACGCAGGAGGCAGAATTTGCAGCGAGCTACAATTGCGCCACTGTACACTCCAGCCAGGAGGCTAAAGCAAGACTCTTGTCTCAAAAAAAAAAAAAAAAAAAGGAAGTAGAAAAAGGCTACATATCTCAACAACTAACTGAACATGTCTCTATATTAGATAATTCTTACTGCTTTTTTTTCAGTTTTTAAAAGATAAGTAACTGCCTTAGTCTGTTTAGTATTGCTATAAAGGAGTATTTAGTAAAGCTAAGTAACTTGTTTTAAAAAGGGGTTTATTTAGCTCACAGTTTTGATAGCTGGAAGGTTCCAGACTGGGCATCTGGTGAGGGCTCAGGCTCCCCACTCATGGCAGAAGTGAAGGGGAGCCAGTGTGTGCAGAGTCCACATGGAGAGAGAAAAAGCAGGAGAGAGGCGGGGAAGGTGCCAGGTTCCTTTCAACAACCAGCTCTAGTGGTAACTAATAGAGGGAGAGCTCATTACCCTGAGAACTCACCAAACCATTCGTGAGCGAGCCAATTCCACGACCCAAACACCTCCCATTAGGCCCTACTTCCACCACTAGGGGTCAGATTTCTAAATGAGGTTTTGGGAAACAAACATCCAAGCTACAGCAGTAAGAGAATATTGATCAGTAAATCAACATTTAGGCAGTTACAATGCTAGTATTTAATAAAGCTCTCCATTCATCTGTAAGTAGTTATTTTTGTAGCGGAATAACTTTCTAATTACTTTTTCTAGTTTTTTCTGTTTTGAATCAATTCCTTTACTGTAAAATGTCATTTTAAAATGTTTATTTTATTTTATACAATTTTAACAGTAGAGTGATTTTGCTGTGGGAAATAAAATTTCATCTTGCAAGAAAGAGAAAACTCAAGACCACTGGCATCTTTATTTACATATTAGAGCGGGTCAGCCAATGAAAATCCTAGAAAAAGAAGACAACAAACATTCAGTCAAAAGAAATAATTGTCTTAAATTATATCCTCATTGTTTCACTTGTTCTAAAACCTAAAAGCCCTACACAATGGTGGCAAAATGAGGTCTGTCTTTGTTCTGGTGCTTTTCTCAAAAAGGACCTAAAAACCTATTAGTGAATCTTCCTGCTGTGTCCTACAAAACAACCTAAAATGGCATTCTGGGTCCTCTTCCATTAACAGTAATCAGAGCACAAAAACCAGAAGTACACTAAAAGGACCAGAAGTACACTCAGAAGGAGAAGGCAGATGAAGAAGGCCCACAGAGGGCTGAGCTCCCAGGTCTGAGAATATGAGTAGGAAGAACTGGGAACGGAAGCCTTTTCCAGAACTAACACCAGCCTACACATATGGCCTGGACACAGGAACAGATCTACGCACTCCCATATGGAGGCTGGAAGTGGCCAGCCTACACTGAGAATCAGTGACAAATGGCAGATGGATAGACAGACAAAAATCAAGTTTGGAAAGTATAATGTATGTAAATTCCACTGGAATGGAGACAAATAATTTCAAGTGATAAATGCAAGAAATATAAAGATAATCATCATAGAATTGTGAAAGAGGAAGATAAGAACTTATATTTCTCCTGCAATATCCAAACAAAATTTATAGAGAAATTATAGAACAGATCATTGGAAGCAAATCAATAGAAGTGTGAACTCACTAGCAGAGATGCCAAAATTTGTTAGAGATTTTCTGTGATTAATATAGGTCTCAAGATGATGATGATGATGATGATGACGATTTTGAGAGAGAGTCTCACTCTGTCACGCAGGTTGGAGTGCAGTGGTGCAATCTCAGCCCACTGCAACCTCCACCTCTCAGGTTCAAGTGATTCTTGGACCTCAGCCTCCTGAGTAGTTGAGATTACAGACATGCACCACCACGCCCAGCTAATTTTTGTATTTTTAATAGTGGCAAGGTTTCACCATGTTGGCCAGGCTGGTCTCAAGCTCTCGGCCTCAAGTGATCCGCCCACCTCAGCTTCCCGAAGTGCTGGGATTACAAGCATGAACTGCTGTGCCCAGCCACCAAGATTTTATGTATTCATCAGGCTTCTTATAATGGCTTTAGTTTCCCTAGTGCTTTGATGGCCTGATGCCAGGAGGAGGGTGTTTTTGGTTACCAAACTAACATCCCAGTCACTGGAAAGAATAAACTGTTATAAATCCATAAATTGGCATGAGATGAAACAACCTGCCTATTGAGTGTCGGACTGGAAGAATTCATTTTACCAAATAGAACTTAAGAAAAGACAATCCACAAACCCCTAAGAGTATAGATAGATTCTGAAAGTTGCTGACCCTCCCTTCAAACAGTCTGCCTGCTTACTCCACAGAAATCCCTACTAATGCCCCCTGCCCTTCAGCTTACTGGCCTAGTATTTCTGCATTCATCTTCTTCATCATTAGGCTTCTTGAGTATCTCCTCTCTCTGCTAGGAGGTAAATGCCAAAGTCTCTTAAATCTGTTTTTATACAAACAGAATTTCAGTAAAATTCTATATATTTTGGTGTCTAAATTAGTTAATTTATATTTCATTGATTGTCCAGGTGTCTGTTTGCCCATTCATCCACTGCTTTGTTCACAAAAGAAAGAGATCTCATATGTCTAAGAATCAATACAGAAACGACTTGAAAAAAATATCTGCTCTGGAATGAGTGGCTGATATGCAAAGTGTTCACATGGAAGACAGGTTATAAGAGGAGGCAAGTGGCAGTACCAGGACGGCAGTACAAAATTAACTACGAAATGCAACTTAATCTGGGATAGGAAAGGCTCATGCTATGAACTTTGTCATTTACTTTACTGCTGTAATCAATACTGCAGTTTCACTTTAGTCAAAGTAACTAATTTTCAATGTGCCTGTGCAAATCCTCATATTACAGTTGCATCTCCTTCTGTCTTCTGGCCTCTGGCTGTAAGTCACTTCCTCAGACTTGCCATGCTTCCTCTTTCCTCTTGCTACAGGGCCTTTGCACACCTCTCCCCTCTTCACTTGCTGAGTTAGTCTCTGCTTATCCTTCTGATCTCAGTTTAAGAATCACCTCCTCTGAGAAGCCTTCCCTGGAGCCCCAACATAAACTGCATTCCTTTGTGGTATGTTTGCTTAGACCTGGGTTCCTCTCCTTCCAAGCAATTGCTTCGCTGTCATGGTGTGTTCAGTTGTGAGGTTACCAGACTGTCCCTCTTTCCTACCAGACTATAAAAGCTCCATGAAGGTGAAGACTGAGCCTGGTTTGGCTCACCATGCTATTCACAGCACCTAACACGTATCTCAATATTCACTGAATGAACAAATGAAATTGCCAAACTCAGAAATGTTTTAGAAAGACCTCTGTGGATGATACAGGGTGTTCCGTTTGGTAGACACTTTTTGGATAGGGGTAAGGGAGGCAGATGCATTTCTTGCTTTCTGCTTAACAATTGTATTTACCTGGGCCTTCCGTGTAGCTTGTGGCTCAATCATGATGTTGATAAGAGAGGGTTTAGTTGTGTCCGCTAGGCTCTGTCTCAGGGATTTTTGGAGTTCTTCTGGTGTTTCTACAAAATACCCCTTGCCTCCAAATGCAGTCATGATTTGCTCATAATGTGAATTTGGCAGTAAACACATTGGAGGGACCCTGAAAAACAAGGTCATGAGTCAATGAAATTTAAATCTTAAACCTCGTACAAAAAAAAAAGTCATTCTCTGAAATACTTCATTAAAAAAATTTAGGCTGAACTGAAAGGCATACTTTTATCTTCAACACTTAAGCTGAGAAGCCAGTACACTGAGTTTTTCCTGTATTTACAATTGTCTATATAGCAATGTCCAATAGAACTTTCTGTGATGATAGAAATGTTTTAAACCTGAGCTATCCAAGATAGCAGCCACTATCCACCTGTTGCTATGAGCCCTTGAAATGTGACTAAACTGAGGAACAATATTTTTAACTTCATTTACTTTGACATAATTTAAAACTAAACTGCAACAGTTGCAAAATGCCAGTGACCACTCTACTAGACAGCACAGGCTACACTATCAGCTATTATGAATCCAGAAGAAAAACGTGAAAAAAAAAAAAGAGATAACTGCAAAACAACAAATAACAAGAAAACAACAAATAAAGTTAGTGAGGCATAAACAGACACACCCATACCCTGTTCCACCCCAAGACTGGTTTACAAATTCACATCTGTCTCACATTCCATGGCCAGCTACAATACCTTCTTAATCTGGCTCTGCTACCAGATGATCAAGATTTAGCTAAGTGGTTAAAAGGAAGGTAGACCTCTGGAACATAAATAATCTGTAAACATCCACATTTCTACATGGTGTAACAGGAATAGTAGGACTGGGAGCATTTTGCAATATGCCCTTTCATTAACAAGGCTCAGACATCACACTCACTTATCTGAATCTTTAGTGGCTCCCTGATTATAAACCATTTATTGAAGTGCCTAATTATGGATATTTGTGCAAAGAGGAACAAAAACAGGATTCCTGCCCTTTAGAAGGGCTGACAATCAAAACAGACAATACTCATACCATGTATGCAATACTTATTCCAATATAGAAGACTTTTTTAAAGCAGCTGAAAACAGGTGAGAGAAAGTAAATATACATTGGTCTTGGTTACTTACACTGCAGTAGGATCTCGAAATTTTGACGTTTCTTTCCAAGTATTCATATCAAAACCCTGGTAAATTCCATTGTTATTCACTACCAAGAGTATGATTGGCAAGTTGTACCTAAAGTGACAGTAAAATATGAAGGAAATCATTCTTCATTCTAAAGTAATTTCTTTTCTTTGTGTTGAAATTTTAACTTAAAAATGAATAGTTTTCCATAAGCTTTTTGTAATATTAGAGGAAGACTAAAAATTAAGCATTTATTGTCCTAAGACAGGCTAGCAAATCATTAACAGAAACATCACGGAAAAGCAGAAAGAATGAAAGATTAACAGTTGATAGTCCTGTCTGGGCACAGTGGCTCATGCCTGTAATCCCAGCACTCTGAAAGCCAAGGTGGGCAGATCACAAGGTCAAGAGTTCAAGACCAGCCTGGTCAGTATGGTGAAAGCCCGATTCTGCTAAAAATACAAAAAGTAGCTGGGCAAGGTAGCTCACGGCCATAATCCCAGCACTTCGAGAGGCTGAGGTGGGCGGATCACCTGACATCAGTTCAAGACAAGCCTGGCCAACATGGTAAAACCCTGTCCCTAATAAAAAACACAAAAATTAGCAGGGTGTTGTGGTGGGCACCTGTAATCCCAGCTATTTGGGAAGCCAAGACAGGAGAAATGCTTGAACCCAGGAGACAGAGGTTGCAGTGAGCCAACATGGTATCACTGTACTTCAGCCCGGGAGACAGAGAGAGACTCTGTCTCAAAAAAAAAAAAAAAAAGAGTTCATAGTCCTTTAGCGATTAGCTATGGATCTCAGACAAATCACTGAACTTTTCGGAATCTGGGTTTTCCTAAGTCTAGATGGTATATGAAGAACACCTTCCCTATTTAATATTCTCTAAAGTACCACTTCTAGCTAGCTCCTAGGAGCAGTGTTTGCACAGTACCTTTCTATTCACTGAGCTGCTCACAGACACCCAGTCCTTGCTAGATGCTGTGATACAAGAGACTAGCACACACAATCCATAATCAGAAACACATGACATGGTGTAATCACCATTATTAATCAGTACAGAAAAGAAGTATTTAACATTGAGCTAAACAGTATAGCAAAGACAAAAAAGAAAAGGTTGATTAAATGTTCTTGACCGAAAAGAACGTAGGTTTTATTTTCTAACATAATTTCCAAGGGCAAATGGTAAAAACAAAACTAAACTGCATACTGTTAAATAACAGACTTGTGGTAATCATTTGCTCTCCATGCTCAAAAGGCATCATTATTTCCACCAAAAGGCTGACTTCCCCATAAGTAATCTTTTTTGTGTTTATCACTTGGTTGTCCATAAAGGCACTAACAGACACATATAGTCAGACCTCCTTATCTGAGTTCTGCATCCATGGATTTAAATAATTGGTCAAAAATATTTGGGAAAAAAATGGGTCTGTACTCAAAATGCACAGACTATGTTCTTGTCATTATTTCCTATGCAATACAGCACAACAATTATTTATAGAGCGTTTATATTATATTCAGTATTTTAAAGTAATCTAGAGATCATTACAAACATATGGCGGGATATGTATAGGTTGTTTGCAAATATTACTCCATTTTATATCAGGGACTTACTTGAGCATCCTTGGATTTTGGTATTTGAGGAAGGTCCTGGAACCAATCCCCCATGGATATGGAGGGACAACTATGCCTTCCCAAATCTTGAACATTTTATGTACCAAAGCTTTGCCAGCCCCAAAAGCATGGTTCACAAAAGCCCTGATAAGAGCCCTGGCTAAGAACAGGATGGTTTTACTACAGTTTAAATACAGTTGGAAAAATAAAACCCCCATCCTTCTATAGTAGGGTCTGTAATTAATGAGTTTCTCCATGAATTCTCATAACTACACACATGATCCAAATGGCTCATGTTCACTGAGCATCACCTCAGAATTCAGCTGGGGCCAAACACGGTAGCTCACACCTATAATTCTAGCACTTAGGGAGGCCAAGGCAGGTGGATCGCTTGAGCTTTGGAGTTCAAGACCAGTGTGGCCAACATGGCAAAACTGTGTGTCTACAAAAAAACACCAAAAACTAGCTGGGCATGGTGGTGCATGCCTGTGATCCCAGCTACTCTGAAGGCTAAGGAGGGAGGATCGCTTGAACTTGAGTGATTGAGGCTGCAGTGAGCTGCAACTGTGCCGCTGCACTCCAGCCTCGGTGATCGGGCAAGACCCTGTATCAAAAAAAAAAAAATGGCTTGTATTATCTCATTTGTTCCTCATAATCATCTTTCTAAGGTAGGAAGTATTACTATTCCTACATTTTTTTTTTCAAGGAATTTCTGCCTAAAGGATACCATTCCTATTTTAGAAGAGAAGGGACAGGCTTGGTTAAGTGACTTGTTTTTTTTTTTTCGAGACAGGTTCTCACTCTGTTGCCCAGGCTGGAGTGTAGTGGTGTGATCTTGGCTCACTGCAACCTACGCCTCCCAGGTTCAAGCGATTCTCCTGCCTCAGCCTCCCAAGTAGCTGAGACTACAGGTGTGTGCCACCACACCTGGCTATTTTTTGTATTTTTAGTAGAGATGGGGTTTCACCATGTTGGCCAGACTGGTTTCTAACTCCTGACCTCAGGTGATTTGCCCGCCTCAACCTCCCAAAGTACTGGGATTACAAGTGTGAGCTATCATGTGGCTTTAGTTAAGTGACTTAAAATCACATGGCTCTCACTTGATAGAACCAGTATTTAAAATCCAGGCCATTTGTCTCACAAGCCACGCTGCCTTTTTTTTTTTTTTGAGATGGAGTCTTGCTCTGTCACTCAAGCTGGAGTGCAGTGGCTGGATTTCAGCTCAGTGCAACCTCCGCCTCCCAGTTCAAGCAATTCTCCTGCCTCAGCCTCCCGAGTAGCAGGGACTACAGGCATGCATTACCACATCTGGCTAATTTTATTTTTTTATTTTTTTGAATTTTTAGTAGAGACAGGGTTTCACCATGTTGGCCAGACTGGTCTTGAACTTCTGACCTAAAGTGATCCGCTTGCCTTGGCCTCCCAAACTGGGATTATAGGTATGAGCTAGCGTGCCTAGCAGGGGCCATGCTCTTAACCACCATACTCGCTATTTCCCATAGGAAACAAGCTTCTTTCAAGCCCCAATGTTTTTTTCTCAGTGACCTCAAAACCACTCCCCACAGTTTTACAGGTTTTTAGCACACAGTGAAGAGGCCAGAAACATTGTGTTCTGAAAGAGAAAGACTGTGGGTTATTGGCACTAGCAATCCTCAGGATAGAACACAGTGCTATGCACAGGGCACCTGGTGAACACTGGTGTTAGGTGACTGGGTCTTGTGTGTCATTTTTCATATTCTGGAGAATGAAATGCTCTGATTCAGGGTGATTTTTTACCTGCAGATGGTTTCCACCTCCATGCCAGAAAACCCAAATGCACTGTCTCCTTCCACACAGATAACCCGTTGCCCAGGACTTCTATCTTTAGCCACCATGGCAGCTGCAATAGCAAATCCTAAACCAACTCCCATTGTTCCGAAAGTACCAGCATCAAGCCTGTTGGAGAACAAAGCTAAAATGAAACCCTCTGGGGCATGTCAAAGAGGGTGGGGTTGGCACAAACCTTCTAGTCATATTTACATAGTTCACGGAAAAATAAAGAGCCATAAAAGCATTCTCTTTCTTCAATATAAAATCATTAGACTGTTAGGAACTAATTTGTCAAGGACAGAAAAAATCGTCTCATGTTTGCTTGGAAGACTGTGAACATACTCCTAGAACACTAAGTATACAAATTATTACATGATACCAAGAACACATTAAGCATAAAAACTCTACGAAACCTCACCTAAGGATACTTTTATGAAATATGTCATTACATACTGAACATGTATAATTCTCAAATGTTTTCTTAATCTGCACAGTATTGTAGTTTCATATTAAACGCATTATAATGAACTATCATTTCTTTCCGCTTTAGAAGTCTTACCTGTGACGAGGAAGGTAGTTCTGAAGCACAGTCCGTCCAATGTCCATAGTATTTGCTCCTTCGCTTACCACAAAACAGTCTCTAGGCAGTTGTTCTTGAACATGGTAGAATACCGTGTAATAATTCATAGGCAGGGATTTTTTGGAAGCTAATTCCTGAAAAGTAGATGGGAATACAATTAAATTAAATTGGGATACAATGAAAATTACCAATGTAAATAAGCTACTATCAAGCTTATTTGGAAATAGGCAAAACTACAAGTCACAAGGTTCCCAAATGGCTATAAAGTGGCCACTCTGAGAAGTTAGCTGTTCTGTGAACAGCCCTGGGGGACACAGGTCCCACAGTCCCAGTTTGGAACACAATTAAATAAGCTCAGGAGTATCCCTCCTCTTAGAGATCTGCAATGCACAGGAGCATATTAAAGACTCTGAGAAGCCCTATAGTAAAAAGAGCTAGGAAGCATTGGGTTAAATAAAACTAACATTCTTATTTGAGCACTCTTAGGAAAACGGTGCCTCAGAAAAAGTAAAATTTATTCTAGAATATTTTCATCTGAAATATGACCCTAAACTTGAAATGTCACAATTTTAGGATACAATCTTAAAATCCAGTTTTCCTCCCAGCACACTTGAGAGTAATGGAGATACGTTACCCCCACTATTCTAAAGAGTCCCTGAGTGGAGAGAAAAACAGCAAGGTAAATGCCTTTGTCTAGCCACATGTCTTTCAGGGCTAAGAGAAAGCTACAGAGAGCTTTAGCAGCAACAGTCCCATCTGACGCCGGCACTGCCTCTTTACCTATGCTACTTTGTTCTGCTGGAAATTACACCCAGCATGAATGAGAGACTCTCCCATATGCCTGCACCAGAGAAGAGAGGCAAATCCCTTCCATCTTAAACCAACATCATTCCTATGGGAAAGAAAAGATTAATCTTGATATGACATAGGAAATAAAATTGAGACGTGCTCTGGAAAGAAACAGTCACTGATTAAAATTCCAATATAAGATAGATTCATGTATAATCAATTCTGCTATAATGTTTGATGCAAAAATGTGAATTTATTCTAAGACAATTGATATATTAGGAACCAAGTGAGCATAACTTAAATTTTGTATTTGCTCATGCATGATTCCACCAGTAAGAAACACGGGTGGAATCGTGCATAAGACACAGAAAACTGCACCCAGCTGAACAAAGATACATAGGAATACACAAACCAATTTTAAAAATCATCTTTCTCACATAGGGAAAGCACTATACACACTACACCCCGCCCCCCCCCCCACACACACACTTAACTAGAAATCGCCAAATCCTGCAGCACTGACCCATTTTAGTGCTAGTTATAGTTTGATGGTTTCTAGCATTACCAGGCAAAGCCAACAGTGCAAATGAGAGCACCACAAAAGAATTTCCAGCAGTGATACAAAAGTTAAAAAAATAAAAGGAGGCTATACATTGGATGAAAATTTCAATTTTGACGCAACAGCTATATAATATAATAGCATGCCCTGAAGGCCGTATATCTTAGAAGCAGAAATACATCTCAAAAGGCCTAAGACTTAAGGATTCCAACAACAACAAAAAAAATCACCTAATGGTTAATTTTTTTTTCTTTTAGAGACAGGTTGTCACTGTCACCCAGGCTTGAGTACAGTGGTATGATCTACTGCACTGCCACTTCAACTCCTACACTCAAGCAATCCTCTCACCTCAGCCTCTGAGTATATAGGACAACAGGCGTGTGCCACCACATATGGCCAATTTTTTTTTTTTTCTTTTTTTGGTAGAGACAAAGTCTTGCTATGTTGCCCAGGCTCTCAAATTTCAGGCCTCAACTGATCTTAGTGCCTTGGCCTCCCAAAGCGCTAGGATTATAGGTGTTTAATTGTGATGTTCTATGCCAACATCAAACTGAAGACACGCCCATCCACTTCCACGATTATCACTTTCCATCCGATGTCCAATCACCCTCCTTCCATCAGCTCACAGTAATTCACAAGCTACGACCCTTCAGAAACTCCAGGTCTTTTTCAAGGTAAAATGCTATATTAACTGGCATGTATTTCTTAACCATTTAACATGTTTAAAACTTGGCTACCATTTCTATTAGGTTCTTACGTTATTTTTATGTTACAAAAAGTTTTTGAGAGTTGTGCTCCCTAAGCCCCTTTTTCCAGAGCCCTGAGGTTTTCACTGTACGATTTTGCACAGCAAGGTGATTTTTAGGAATGCACATGTCACATTACAGCAGAAGTAACTGAACCATGAACCTGATGTGTTCTTGAGCTTTCAGTGGGTCCCACTTTACCTTGGATGCAGCTTCATTGCTCTTCATTTTTTCTCTCAGAGTTTTCCACCACTTGCTCTCTGGAGGATACTCCCATGCTGTTTTATCAAGTTCCTCTAAAAGCTAAAAAGCAAAACAAAAACCACAAACTTTTTCTTTGCCTTTTTTTTTTTTTTGAGATGAAGTCTCATTCTGTCACCCAGGCTAGAGTGCAGTAGCGTGATCCTGGCTCACTGCAACCTCCACCTCCCAGGTTCAAGCAATTCTCCTGCCTCAACCTCCTGAGTAGCTTGGACTACAAGCACTTGCCACCATATCCGGGTAATTTTTGTATTTTAAGTAGAGACAGAGTTTCACCATGTTGGCCACGCTGATCTCAAACTCCTGACCTCAGGTGATCCATCCGCCTCAGCCTCCCAAAGTGCTGGGATTACAGGGATGAGCCACCATGCCTGCTCTGCTTTTCAAAAATAAATTTAAATCACATTAACATGGGAATCTCTTCTTAAATAAGACAATACTGCCCAACTACCCTTTACATCACTCAGACTCTTTTCCTCTAATTAGCAAACACCTGATAGAAGTTCAATGGGTAACATGGAAGGCTTTTGTTTGGGTCAGTACGGGCTTCTGCCAGACGCTGGGATGTCCAAAGGACAGACTGAAGCACTACCTCCTCCATACTTCAAGCAGGTGCTCTGAGACTCTCCTCAGTTTTTGACACTAGAAGAAAAACCACTCCTTCCACAGAACTCTTACAGGAAGACCAACAAATAATCATGGACTCCTATGATACAGACCAAATGCTCCAGAGTGATTTAATATGCGATTAGGGATTACATCCTATATTGTGTAATCATGACAACAATACTAGTTGAATCATCCAAAATCAAGTGATAAATGTGACTTCACTTTATTTTTTGTTATAGTGAAATGTACAAACTATGTACAAATAATAAGAACCTGGAAAAGTCAACGATCAGTTCGAAAAGTAAAAAGCTCTTTTTTACCTAAAGAAATACTGTTAGATTTTTCCAGTGCTAAGCCATTTCTTGGCAGTAAGTTCAGTTCCTTTGGAAGGTATCCTTTTTCAGATAGCTGGATCCTATTTAGTAAAGTACTGTTTGCCTACTGAAGGATGTTACATTTTCAACCACCTTCCAAAAATGCTTAACTTCCATGAAAATGAGCCATATACAAGAAGTTGGATTTATCAAGTTCCAAAGTTATATTTAAGAATAGTTTTCAAGCACACATTTTGTTTAAAACAGATATTAATAATAGACCTGTTACCAAGTGAATCAAGATTAAAACATTTTCAAGAATTGACTATTCCCTAAAGAGCACTCCACATAAACTAAAACAAAAGTTCTCACCTGCTTACTGACAGCACTTATGTCTCCTAGCAAAGTAACAGCGGGCTTTACATTATTACCCAGTTCTTCTGCACAGATATCAACCTAAAAAAGAGACAAGGCTAAAAGAACAACCCATGTTTATTTTGAAAAATCTGTAAGAAGTCAATTAAGACTGAATAAATGAACTGTGTATATAGGACACAGTTCTATCAATAAGGAAGATTTGATATTCACAAGTTCCTTAATAAAAAAAGTAAAAGTCCACAGAACTATATTAGTATCATAGATCGTATAGAGAGCCTCATTATCTTCCCTCATTTAAAAATCTATTCTGTTGAACTTTGGTATTGCTTCATTATACCCATAGGGAATGCATTTGACCTGATCAATTATGGTTTTACATCTAATCAGTAAGTTCTACTGAATTATATTTGGAATTTCTACCTAGAGTGTGAGTTGTCAAATTTGAGCATATATCAGAGTCACCTGGTATATTTTGGGCTTGATAAACAATAGACTGTAGGAGTCTACCTCAGAGTTTGTTATTTTAATAGGTCTAGGGTACGGTCAAGAAATGGGCATTTCTAACAGGTTTCATGGATGGCGCTGATGCGGCTGGCCAAGATCATGGCATCATTACTTCTCCATTTACTCAGAAGTTCCATTTCTGGATGGCCATGAACAAATGAAAATGGCTTCTGCAAAGAGGAATAATTTAGCCACTCCAAAGGGGATGTATCTTATCCTGTAATAGAGAGGGGAAATTAAGAGGTAGCAGCATCTTCCAGGTAACTCAGTCTTGCTTGTCTGTAGTTTTAGTTCTCAATGGCTGCAGGTGGGAAAGGAACAATTGGAAGTTGACTCCTTAAGAGGTAAAAGGCAGGCCAGGTGTGGTGGCTCATGACTGTAATCCCAGCACTTTGGGAGGCTGTGGCGGGCAGATCACAAGGTCAAGAAATCAAGACCATCATGGCCAACATGGTAAAACCCTGTCTCTACTAAAAATACAAACAAAAACTATTTTTAGTATTAAAACACTACAGGTGGTGCATGCCTGTAGTCCCAGCTACTCGGGAGGCTGAGGCAGGAGAATCACTTGAACCAGGGAGGCGGAGCTTGCAGTGAGCGGAGATCACGCCACTTCAGCCTGGCAACAGAGCGAGACTCCATCTCAGTAAAAGGTAGATTGGAAGAAGAGCAGCTATACCTGGGTCATCCAACATCAAGCAAGCCAAGCACAGTGGCTCAAGTCTGTAATCCAGCATTTGGGAGGCTGAGATAGGAGAATCGCTGGAGGCCAGGAGACTGAGATCAGCTTGGGCAACACGGTGAGACTCTGTCTTTACAAAAAAAGAAAAATTACCCAGGCACTGTTGTACGCATCTATAGTCCCAGCACAACAGGAAGCTGAGGTGGGAGGATGGCCTGACCTTGAGAGGTTGAGGTTTCAGTGAGCCATTATTGTGCCACTGCACTCCAGCGTGGGTGACAGAGCAAGATGCTGTCTCAAAAACAACAACCAAACAAAAACATCAAGCAAAATGTGGCCAATCCGTGTAGAGCAAAAAGGTTTGCATGCCACTTTGTAGGTAGTACTGTCCACGTCTGTAAGGAAACTGGCTTATAAGGTGGGTCATAATGATACAAGAATCATCAAAGACAAGTCAGAATACATTCCCGAAGCTGTTTAATGACATGTAAAAGCAATGTCATTTAGAAATTCCCATCCAAAACATGAAAGTTTTGGCATCTGAAAGAAAACCTCACTCCCTAACAATGCTGAATGTTTTGTTCTAATCTACCATCCTACCTAAGTCTCTTTTCTCTACCTTTAAACATTCTTGAATTGTGAAATGACAAATTCGGCTTTTTAAACTATTCGAAACTTGATTTTGAAAGGTTTTCTGGCTAGAAGTAAAGCGGCACATTATATTTCATAGGCTTGAAAAGGAAACTTATTTTGGTACCTGTAATTATGTTAGACAATTTATAAAATTCTACTTGTGTAAAAAGAGAAGAGTTTTTTTCTTTTCTTTTCCTTTTTTTTTTTTTGCAGAAACCAAGAAGAAAACAGGGCTGATAAGGAGAATAATGAATACAAACATTTCTGATTTTAAGTTCCTCCTCTCTAAGTACCTGGATAAACTTCACATCTGGCTGATATCTTGGAGGCAGTCCAAAATGTAAAATCCAATTTAGTCTGGCACCAAATAAAACAATCACATCAGCAAATTGCAAAGCCCTATTAAAAAAAAATTGATATAAAAGTGTAAGTGTATTTCTTATGTGAATTATTCTAAAATTTATCTCTAAAGTATTTGAGATGTCTAAATCATTTGAAGCTTACATCAGACATCAGAAATCAGCTTTTGGGTTTATTTGATCTTTCAAGCTAAAATAATTTATAAAACCATTTTAAATAAATAACAATCTAAAATATAAATCAAGTAAAATACAATAAGCTGTATTTATACTCTTTTATTTATTACTTTTTTATAACTAGAAAAATTCATACAAGTCTACTGTAGATAATCCAGAAAGAACAGAAAAAGTCTAAGGCAAAAAACAAAATCACCCCATAATACTTTCAACTATAAATTATTATAAATATCCTGGCATATTTTTATCTACTTTTTTTTCTATGCAAGTATATTTTTACATAGTTGAGCTTATACACTAACACTAAAATACTGTGTCATACACATTTTTTGTTTTGTTTTGAGATAGGGTCTCAATCTTTCGCCCAGGCTGGAGTGCAGTGGTGCAAGCACAGCACACTGCAGCCTCTACCTCTCAGGTTTAAGCGATGCTCCTACCTCAGCCTCCTGTGTAGTTGAGACTGCAGGCACATGCCACTGCACCTGGCTAATTTTTAATTTTTGTAGAGATGGGGTTTTGCCATCTTGCTTAAGCTGGTCTTGAACTACTGGTCTCACGCAATTCGCCCACCTTGGCCTCCCAAATTGTTTGGATTACAGGCATGAACAACTGGGCCTGGCTGTATCACATACTTTTGCTTACCATAAATGTCTTCCTTTGTCATTAAGTTCTTAAATACAACTTTTAAAGGCTACATAGTTTGCTGAACACATATACCAAAATTTATTTAATGTTTCCTCAATTGCTGGATATTTTGTTGTTAATAGTGCTGGGTTGCATATCTTCATACTTAAGTCTTAATGCACTCTTCACATTGGTCCCTAGAAGTAGGTATTTTAAGACTATTGATTCATATTCCAGAATTGCTTTCTAAAATATTACACCTGTTAAAACACGCACACTGAATGAAGAGACACCCCCCAAATAGGCTTTTTGTGAGCAAGATGGCTGTTTATTCACCTGGGTGCAGGGGTGGGCTGAGGCTGAAAAGGGTGTCACCAAAGGGCAGTGGGATAGGAGTTGGTTTTATAGGTTGTGAGGGAGGTAGTTAACAGTTACAAAAGTTAAGTTTAGGGCAGTTTTTTGCAAGCTGGGAGGGGGTCGTAGGTTTGCAAGCTGGGAGGGGATCTTAGGGTGTGGAATCACAAGGCTGTCCAAGCTAGGAGGGGGTCGGAGGGTGAGGTGTCAAGAGGTTGGCCAAGGTCAGTTACAAAGGCCAAGGGCCTTGTCAATTGAGGCCGGAATAAGAAACAATAGAAGAATGTCTCTAGTTAGGCACTGCAGAGGTCGATTGGGGGTACGTGCAGGTTTCAGAGATTACCATGCAGTTCATGGCGTGGTCAGACCTTACAATACCAACTAGATTTCTAAGTTTTATTTTACAGATTTTAATACTATTGTCAATATAACTTCTAATATTTTAATGATTTTTACTTTCATAACACAACCATCCTTGCTTTCTTTTTGTTTACTTCACTTATCTTTGCCCCATCTCGTTTTAAAGCTGTATCATTATGTTTCAGATGTAGCTCTTATAACACACATAGTTGCAGTTACTACTAATCCAATCTAAATGTCTGCCTTTTTCCTGGAAAGTTTATCATCATAATTGCTGTGGGTTTTTTGTTTTTCACTTCTTACTTTTCTGCTTCTTATAATTGTTTCTCATTTTTCCTGCCTTTTGCCATATAGCATCTCTATTTACTGCTTTTGTCTTCTTTGGTGATAAATGCAATTTTGCACAGAAATTATATACTCAAAAATAAAATACACACTCAAAAATCATCTTCAATATTGTGTTAGTCCTATAAGACCCAACTTAACAAACAGATAACTGCAATCAGCAGGACAGACTTGCTTACTGATACTCTAAAACTTTTGAAATCATTGATTCAATTATTTGTAGCTCCTTGCAACCTTTTTCACACTAGTAATGTCATTAATATTATCCTCTTAAAATCTGGCTAGATTGAAGATAAACTTCAACCTAAGCATAAAAAAATTAATAGTGTAAGAATTAACTTGGTTACTGTATAAAGTATACTGATATAAAGTAAAGACAATATATTAAGATAGTATTAAGTGGGTGACAATTAAAAATCTAGCAGCAAACATTACATTTTAGTATACATTACACATGCATACATACAGTATACATTAGTATACTGTATAAAGTATACTAATATAAAAAGACACTATATTAAGATGGCATTAAATGAGCAACAATTAAACATCCAGCAGCAAACATTAAATTTTAAAAACCCTCAGAAGCCAGGCACTCACACCTGTAATCTCAGCACTTTGGGAGGCCAATGTGGAAAGATCACTTGAGCCTAGGAGTCTGAGACCAGCCTAGGCAACACAGTGAGGCCCTGTCTCTACAAAATAAAAATAAAAAACTCCCAGAATTAATTTTAATCCATGAATGAAAATATGAAGAACACCAAATACATGACAGTGGTAAACTATGGAAAGGGAAGGAAGAAATGGGATCAAAAAAGATACATAAGGGACGACAAATGAATCCATAATTTTTTGCTTCCTAAAACGAAAAAAAAAAAAAAAAAAAAAANAAAAAAAAAAAACCCTAGGCTGGGCATGGTGGCTCATGCCTGTAATCCTAGCACTTTGGGAGGCCTAGGTGGGTGGATTCCTTGAGCCCAGGAGATCAAGACCAGCATGGGCAACACGGTGAAACCTTGTTTCTACAAAAAACACAAAAATTAGCCAGTGTAGTGGCACATGCCTGTAGTCCCAGTTATTAATACTTGGGAGGCTGAGGTGGGAGGATTGCTTTAGCCCAGTAGGGAGAGGTTGCAAACAGCTGTGATTGTGCCACTGCACTCCTACCTGGGCAACAGAGAAAGACCTTGTCTCCAAAAAAAAAACCCTAAAGCAAAATAAAATAATGTTAGTAATTGATACAATCCTACTTCTTATGTATTGTTCCCAAATGAAACCTTTTTTTACTTAAGAGATTCATCTGTCTACTTTTTATGTTGACAGTGATAAAGTTGAGTAGTGGTTATGTAAGTGTTCATTACATTATTCTTTCTTCCTCTGTGTATAGTTAGAATATTTCATAATAAAGAAATTTCAAGAAATTAAAAAGAAAAAAGGTATAGTACATCAAAAAGCATGTCTTAAAAATCTAAAAAGAGGAAGTTTCCAATGCCAGCCAAGATTGGATACGTTGGAAGAAGCAACCCACACAGAGGGCAAGTTTCCAAGGTATTTCTCCCCCATGTTTTGTCTCCTAGCTTTGACTCAAAGGCAGTCCTAGTTGCAGAATAGCAAGCAACCAAAACTTGGAGAGAAACTGTTTTTTTGGCCAAAGGATCAGGAAAAGAACCCCTGCAAGCTGGGGAGTATGGGGGGAAATCGTCAGATTTTTTTTCTTTTTTCTTTCTCTCCCAGCTCTGTTCTGAGGGCAGCCCTACTACAGAGCTGCATTGTGGTGGCTCCCAAGCAGCTAAAATTCCAAGAGAAATGTCATCTTTCAGGCAAGAGGAATTGGGAAAAGGCGTCCCTGCAGTCTGAAGAGTATAGGGACAATCCCCATTATTTTTTGATTCTGCAGCTTGTCCAGAGGGCAGCTTTAGTTATATGATACTATATGGGAGCAGCAAGAGCCAGGAAAAGGAGCACCTGGTAATGGGAGAGTTGGGGGTGGGGAGACAACAGAGGAGGGAAAATAAATCCCTAATTCTGGGTATGAACCAGTACATGTCTGGGGCTCACCCCTGGGCTAGGCATGTGCCGACAGCCCCAAAATAGCAGAACAAAGGCTCTGAAACTGAACTGACCCTGAAACTACTTACTTATAGTCAGTTCACACTTCAATTTGTAGTCTGAAGCTAATGTAATCATGCTGATTGTCTGCTAAGACAAACCAACAAAAAGCAATGTTCTATAGAGGATTTTAATATGGCCCAGAATTTCAAAATACAACATTCAAAATTCCAGGATACAATCCAAAAGTACTCAGTATAAAAAGAGTCAGAAAAATGTGACCAACTCTCAAATGAAAAGATGATGAATAGATGCCAATCTGAGATGACTCAGATGTTGGAATTAATAAACAAAGACTGCAGAAACTATTATAACTATACTCCACCATGAAGTATAAAAAAAATTCTTGAAAGCAATGTAAAAATAGAGGATCTCAGCAGAGAAACAAAATATAAAATAAAAGGATTAAAAAGAAATGAACAGATACTCAGGGACATGTCAAACAATATCAACATGGATAATGGTTGATGTAGAAAAAAACATTTGAAGAACGAATGGTGAAACTTTCCAAATTTAGAGAAAGACGTAAATTTTCAGATTCAAGATTTAAGAATCCCAAACAAGCTAAACTAAGATAAACCATCTCCAGACACATCATAATTAAACTGCTGGAAACAAAAGATAAAGGAAATTCTTGGGACCAGCCACAGAAAATCAACACATTACATACAGGGGAACAATAATTTGAATGACTGCAGATTTCTCATATGAAACCATGAAAGCCAGAAGATAGTCCAAAAATAAACACATGCTTAAAATTCCATGATTCTTTCAGAACTCCATCCTAGATTAAGATCACAAAATAATTTAAATTAGCCTACAATCTACCAAGCCATTGTACTGAAAATCTGGAATGTCACATACCTGGATCTGGCTGCACCTACACAGTTTGGATGGTTGTCAGGGACAACCCCCTTCCCCATAGGGGTGGGCAAAAATGGCAGTTTATATTGCTCCACCAATTTCTTGATATTCTCTTCTGCATGAGCATAGGCAGCACCTACAAGAAATGCAAATATATTGGACAATTCAGTTAAGCTATAGGCACTGTGACCCTTAAAACAGTTCATGTGAAACTGCTTTTTATTTATTTATTTTTTTGAGACAGGGACTCACTCTATCACCCAGGCTGGAGTGCAGTGGCACGATTTTGGCTCACTGTAACCTCTGCTTCGCTGGCTCAAGCAATCCTCCCTCCTTAGCTTTCCAAGTTGCTGGAACTATAGGCACACACCACCACCACACTTGGCTACTTCTAAAATTTTCTGTAGAGACGAGGTCTCCCTATATTGCCCAGGCTGGTCTGCTGGTCTTGAACTCATGGGGTCAAGCAATCCTCATTCCTTTACCTCTTAAGAAATAGATCTTAAATACTCTCCTTCTGCCCAAACCTGGGCTTAAACTCAAAACAAATTGTGGCTATAGTTTTTATTGCTGGCATTTTAAAATGCTTAACGAAGTAAGAGTTCTAATTTCCCACCAATAGCTCTCAATTATTCTGAAAGATGTCTATCCCAAAACAAAAGTCACATCTCACAGCTCTTGCTAGTGTCACTTACCCATTCTATGTTATGGTCCTACTGAGCTACTATCTACAATTCCCTGGACACACTATCTTTACTGGGAGGCCCAGGTGGCCGGGGAAGAATGTTGTCCTAAAAGAGAATGGCTCTCTCTACCTTCACATGTTGGTTCTCATCTCCAGCAAACCTCTTGTTCTATACAAGGTCTCCTACTCTAGGCATGGAAATCCTAAGGTGCATTAAGTTTCTAAAGATCTGCAGATCTTTCTACAGGCTCTATAATTCTGTGATTGTAACAGAGCTAACCCCAGAGGGACACAATATCATTTGTTTTCACAGTTGTGTGCCTGGGAATAACCCTATGCCCTATTCCCTTGATGAGACTAAAAATATCTTATTGTTCAAATGTTCCATTTCTAATGTCATCAAGACCACTGTATTTTCTGCTATTCTATACTTTTTCAAGGCCAGTATATTATTCCATATTCTGTATTTATAATTATCTACTAAATCCTAGTAAACAGTATCATGCACTTGCAGATTCAATATAATGTTCCAAGCTACAAAACTACCTTAAAATCCCTTCTCATACATGCATGATGAAAAATAGTTCCTTTTTTTTTTTCATCCAGAAAGCTTTCTTGTATTCCTCTTCCTGTCTCAATGTCTCTGTACACTCAGTTCTCTCTTCCTGCTTTGTCTTTGGTCTCTGTCCATTTGGGAACTACTATCTGCTTTTTCAAGATATAGCTGTTGTGCCATCTCTTCTGGATAGTCCTTCCATACCACCTACACAAGCAAACTGTTGCTACTTTCCTTGAAAACCTGCCTTACTCTTTCTGTACACACCACCCAAGAGTATATTACACTCATTTGTTACCAGGTCTATCTCCCCTCCCCCATAGGTAGGAACCACTATTTCTCTGTATCCCTCACGTTCTGTATAATCCCTGCCTTATCATAAGCACTCATCAAATGTTTGTTAAAAGTAGAATAAAAACTGGCAACCACTGAGTGCTTTCCATATGTTTTGCTATTTAATTATATCCTGTTGAGGCAGTTAATATCCCTGTTTTACAAGTGAGGTAATTTGAAACTCAAAGCAGTTGTTTGCCAAAGTCACAGAGCTAATACATCATATAACACATTCAGCTTAGTTCCGATCTCAATTTTTTTGTCATCCACTACCAAACTTTTTTGGTTTACTACATACTTAGTTCCTAAGCAGTTCATAATTGATTAGCATGGCCATAGATGATCCCAGCAGCCTCAGTTCTAGAACATGAAATGAATACTATAATAAATTGCTGACAGGCATATAAATTGGTTGGTTCATTACCTCCGGAGAAAGCAATCTGACAATATGTACCAAAAGCCTTAAAATATTCATATCCTCTAACTTTTCCTTCTAGGAATCTTAAATCCTAAATACAGAAAAAGTTTTAGGCACAAACATGTTTGCTACAGCTACTCTAAACAAACAGTAAATGGCAAAGATGTAAATGTTTGCCAGGAAAGAAAGTGTTAATGTACATATGACGAGACATTAAAAATTATATTTAAGAAATGCTTTTAAGATGAAAAATATTATAATCTTAAGTGAATAAGGTAGAATATGAAACTGTCTAGTATGAGCACAGTACATAATATACGTGTAAAAAGGAATAGAAAACTATTGTATGTTAAAAATGGTTACCTCAGATGAAGGAACTTCTACTTTTCTTGATTTTTCAAAATGTTTTATAATAGAATCAATGCATTTTATTCACAAGACCAAAGAAATTAAATAGGTGGTATTTCCTTAAAAGCATGAAATCTCTGGGCATTAAAGAATAATTCTATAATTTCAAAACAAATAATGCAAAATTGATGAAGAGAATTCTTATTCCAATTTCAAACATTAGAACAGACATTAATAAACAATTAAAATTTATGAAAAGAATCAGCACTTTCAAAAGCCTAGCAAGACTTATCATGCTACCTTTTCCGATGATAAGAAGGGGCTGTTTGGCGTTCCTAATAACAGAAGCTGCCATGCGTACAGCAGAGGTTTCTGCCATGCTGACAGGAGGTGACATGCAGCACTCCATGTACCTGGGAAAAAAGAGCCTTGTTAATTAAAAGAGGCCAACTCTAATCTTTTTATTGTGGACATATCAAATATATAGAAAGGTAGGAGAAATAGCACAATAAGCCCCCAGAGGCCCCCATGTAGATCTAACAACTTAATCTCATTTTACCACATTTGTTTCATATATATATACACAAACGTGTTTATGTTTCCTGAACTATTTTAAAGCAAATAGGCATCAAGATACTTCACCCTTAAAAATCTCTCCATATGACTGTGAATAAGGACCTTCTCCTATATTCAACCATCACATCATTATCACATCTAGCAAATTAACAGTTATTCTCCAATATCATCTAATAGCCAATGAAATGGCCAATTCATTGACAGAAAATCTGAGTTAATGGTTTTGTATTGTAGTAGCAGTAGTAGCTGTTGTAACAGTAAAAACATACTAAAATCTAATATTTGCTATGTGCCATTTATTCTCATTCAATTATCAAAACAATGAGGTCAGGTATTAGCATCATCTCCATTTCACCACTGAGGAAAAAAAAGACTCAAGAGAAAGTAACTTGTCCAAGATCTCCAGATGACATGTGGCAGAGACTGGATTGAACCAGTCATTCTGTCTCCAAAGTCCATGCTTTTAAATACCTTACCACATTTCTTTTCTTTTTTTTTTTTTTGGAGACAGAGTCTCACTCTGTAACCCAGGCTGGAGTGCAGTGGTGCAATCTTGACTCAATGCAACCTCCACTTCTCGAGTTCAAGCAATTCTCCTGCCTCAGCCTCCTGAGTAGATGGGACTACAGGAACATGCCACCACGCCTGGCTAATTTTTGTATTTTTAGTAGAGACACGTTTTCGCCATGTTGGCCAGGCAGTTCTCAAACTCCTGACCTCAGGTGATTCACCCACCTAGGCCTCCCAAAGTGCTGGGATTACAGGCATGAGCTACCGTGCACGGCCTCACTACATTCCACTAACTGGGTGTTAATATTTTAGTATCACAATATGCATTAGTACAAGAAACATTAAAACTGTCACAGTTAAGTATTTCTGGACACCAAGTTCTGTGATATTTCATTTATTCTAATTAATATAAATTATACTATAAAAAATTTAGACATATAGTCAAAATATTTAGACATATAATAAAAAAGAACAATCTGTATAAAATTTAAAAGGCTTATAGAGTTAACTTACCTGACACTAGCCCTTCTCCCCTTAGTATTATTTTGATTATCTTTTTCAGGTATTATGTAGAATAAACAGATGTCCTTTTTATCTGACTCTACCAAATAAAAATCACTCCTTGGTACACAGAGTATACAGTAAGACCCACTGTCTGTCTGTAGTCACTAGAGAACCATTTGGTCCACAATGGCACTTGGTACACAGAGTATACAGTAAGACACACTGTGTGTCTGTAGTCACTACAGAACCATTTGTTCCACAATGGCAGAAATGCACAAAACGGTACCCATGATGCTTCTTTTCACTTAGTGTTTATTTTAAAAACATGAGATATCATAGAAATCGCTGTTGGAATATTTGTTAACCATAGGGAGAGAAGCTAGATACTTTTTTATCTTGAATCCTAATAATTTTCAATAATCACCCAATCTCTTGGCTTGCATTATAAAGATTCTCAAGGACCCATACCACATTAACAAAGGATGTATATTTATGGTTACTGAAGGAATAATTTCAATGAAGAGTTCAGGAAGTTCCAAGTATTTGGTTTAGTAATTAAATCCAGAAATAACTACTAATAAATATCTTTTTCTTTTTTTTGAGAGGGAGTCTCACTCTGTCGCCCAGGCTGGAGTGCAGTGGCACAATCTCAGCTCACTGTAACCTCCACCTCCTGGATTCAAGCAATTCTCCTACCGAAACCTCCCAAGTAGCTAAAGGCGCCTGCCACTACACCCAGCTAATTTTTGCATTTTTAGTAGAAACGGGGTTTCACCACATTGGCCAGACTGCTCTCGAACTCCTGACCTCAGGTAACCCGCCCGCCATGGCCTCCCAAAGTGCTAGGATTACAGGAGTGAGCCACTGCGCCTGACCACTAATATCATTTTAATTGAGAGAATTAAGCCCTTTGGCTAGGATTCAGTTTAATTACTAAATCATTAAGTTAAGACAAATGGAAATTAACCTATAAACTGCTCGGTAAATTCTTTTAAAAAGGTAGGCATTATAATAATACATGAATATTGAAGAAAGAATTCCAGTATAACTATTACTCACTTTATAGAATTCACATTCACCTGGAGGTTCACAAAATCTGCTGGTATGTCAACATAGCAAGCACCTGGACGACCATAGATACTGGTTCTCACTGCCTACATTTATTACAAGTAGAAGAAAAGATTTGTAAAATCTCAGTCTTATCATATTCCACTCAAAGATAATTTAAAACTGTAAAATAACACTATTTTCATTTTTCTGGACATCCTTAGGTAGAGAAAAATAATTATAATCAAAATTGAAATGTGCTCTATTGCCTACATCTTTAAAGATTTTTTTGTTTAAAAGGGAAGAGAGATAAAGTATTCATTTAGGGCTTTAAAATTCACGTTCTATTACACTGTGGTTTTGGAATTATTCACGAGGCTCTGCATGCCAAGTTTTTGCACTGTACTATGTACTTCCACCTGCTTCCTAATCTTAATAATCTGGCAGTATTTACAGAAACTGTGATGTGGTTACATGTAGCAAATGGTTTCTGTAACTCCTGGTTTTGAAACAGCTCAAACGTAATTTCATGTATAAATGCTGATTATAATTTATAATACAGGCTAAGTATCTACAATCCAAAAATCCAAAATCCTCCAAAATGTGAAACGTGGTGTGTGCCAACATGATGATACAAGGGGAAAACTCCACATCTGACCTCATGTGACAGCTCACAGTCAAAATGCAGGTGTATAAACAGTTTATTCAGTGTCCCCAAGGGAAAAACAAAGTTACCATCAGACTATGTATATAAGGAACCTATGAAACATAAATGAATTTCATATTTAGACTTGGGTCCCATTCCTAAGATGTCTCATTATACATATGCAAATATTCTAAAATCTGCAGTCAGAAACTCTCTGAAAAGCATTTCAGATAAGGAATAATCAACCTGTATGCTGCTTAATTAACTAACAGAGGGTCTTACACGGTTTTGGTTTAGTCCCAATTTTCAAAAATAATCTTTTGCAAAAGCACAAGAGAAAAGGTACTCAGGGGTTCATTATACCTTTCTCTTTACTTTTGTATAATTAAAAAGATAATTTTAAAAACTAAAGCACAAGAGAAACTTTTTCCAAAAATAACTTATTTTACCTCTCTATAATTAAATGTAATGACAAAAATGTAAATAGTTTTTTAACAATGCCATTTTTAACTGCCTAGGTATATTCCTGTCACTCATTCTTTTGAGAATAAAGCTAACATAAGTATGAGCAACTGAGAAAAACCAGTTAATCTGGAGCAATTCTCATTCCAGAGCCTCCTGAGTATGGAGTCACAATCTTGTCACAAAGGTGTATTTCTTGAAAGCTTGTTTCTAAGCAGGGCCTAAGCTCACCCTTAAATACCGTACCTTTTCAATAACAAAAGGAATAGCTTCTATGCTGCTTGGACGGGCAGAGAACTTGGTATATAATCTACAAGCTTCAACCTACATGAAAAATGAAAATCACTTAAAATTCAGCCCACAATTATATTACTCTCCTGAAAGAAGACAAAATGTTAAGTCATTACTTTCTTTATGTTTAGAGGCAAGATGGAGAAAATGTATTACCTAGACTGTCCCTCAAAAGCCTATTCAAAGAACAAAGTTTTGCCTTGGTATGATTCAGGAAGCATATTAAAACAAGATATAATTTTCATTTCTCAGATTGGCAAAGATGCAAAGGTTTGATGATACCCACCATCTAACACAATCCAGGAAAACAGGCATTTCTATAAACTGCTGGTCAGACGATAAATGGGAAAGGAAGTTAACAAAATCTACAAAAAATTTAAATCAGCAGTTTCACAGATAAGAATATGCAACTTCATCTGTTATATTTTGTTACAATAACTTATATTTCTGTCAGTATTCCTTTTATATACTTTCTTGCTATGCTGTTTAGAACATATGAATTCAGTAGTGATAATTTTTCACTGTTTAATGTATCTTGAAGCATTATATAGAAACTGTTTCTCTTGATATGTTTTAGTATGAAATCTATGAAAAACTGATAGTCCCACAGGCATGACAGAATTAAGATCACCCCTCGCCCCCGATTTTCAGTCTATGTTCATGTCCTTTAAGGACTTCCACAAGAAACAGATATTTGGATTATCTTCTGATTTATTTATTAATTTTTTTTTTTTCTTTTTCTTTTTGAGACAGGGTCTTGCTCTGTCACCCAGGCTGGAGTGTGGTGGCCCAATCTTGGCTCACTGCAACCTCTGCCTCCCAGGTTTAAGCAATTCTCCTACCTCAGCCTCCGGAGTAGCTGGGATTACAGGCACCCACCACGATGCCCAGATAATTTTTGCATTTTTAGTAGAGACTGGGTTTCACCCGGCTGGTCTCGAACTCCTGACCTCAAGCGATCTGCCCACCTCGGCCTCCCAAAGTGCTGGGATTACAGGCGTGACCCACCATACCGGCCTCTCCTCTGTTTTTAAATTTGATCTAATAAACTATTATTTTCCATTTCAGGAAAAAAAATATGTAGTGGACATTTATCCTGTTTTTCACCTATATAGTTTTTGCAGTAACTTTAGGTTTCCTTTTAATTAACTTATCTGCTCTACTTATTTTTCAAACACATCAGCATCTTTTAAATAACTGTTATTGTCTACCATTAACTAAGTAAAACTTAATTCCCTTCTAAGAGTATAAAAATATACTTTTGCATTAACCTATACCAGAGTTCAGCATTTTATATTAGTTTATCATATATAAAATTTTACTTTTGAAGTTCTCAACAATGACTTCTGATTTACAAACAGACTTTGTCTAATGATTTTATTTATGTATTTATTTTTGAGACGGAGTTTTGCTCTTGTTGCTCAGGCTGGAGAGCAGTGGTACGATCTCAGCTCACTGCAACCTCTGCCTCCTGGGTTTAATCGATCCTCCTGCCTCAGCCTCCCAAGTAGCTGGAATTGCAGGTGACCATCACCAAGCCTGGCTAATTTTTGTATTTTTTAGTAGAGACAGGGTTTCACCATATTGGCAGGCTGGTCTCAAACTCCTGATCTCAGGTGATCCACCCACTTTCGTCTCCCGAAGTGCTGCAATTACAGGAGTGAGCCACTGCACCTGGCTGTCTAATGATTTTAACTTTGTCCTGTAAATGCTCAAATATATTTATACCTTAAGTGTCAATCATTCACTTTGTTTTCCTCCTTTTTTTTTTTTTTTTTTTTTTTTTTTTTNGACCAGGTCTCTTGGATGGGTGCAATGGCTCATGCCTATAATCCCAGCACTTCTGGAGGCTGAGGCAGGCAGATTACTTGAGGTCAGGAGTTCAAGACCAGCCTGGGCAAGATGGCAAAACCCTGTCTCTACAAAAAATACAAAAATTATCTGGTCTTAGTGGCATGTGCCTACAGTCCCAGCTACTTGGGAGGCTGAGGTGAGAGAATGGCTTAAGCCCAGGAGGTGAAGGTTGCAGTGAGCCAAGATAAGGCACTACACTCCAGACTGGGCAACACAGCCATACCCTGTCTCAGAAAAAAAGAGAGAGAGAGACAAGATTTGACTACGTTGCACAGACTGGTCGCAAACACCTGGGCTCCAGCAATCCTCCCGCCTGAGTCTCCTGAGTAACTAGGAATACAAGTATGAACTACCATGCTCAGCTTTATTCCTAAAGCTATAGCATTTTGTTGACATATTCTTTCAAGTTTCTTATAATTTTGAAATGTTTTCCTTCCTCCTTCTAAAATAAAAATATCCTTGTCTAGAGTCTACTGATAATCATTTTGAGTAAGATTTTTCCTCTCAAGTGTTTATTCCCCAAAGTCTGGGAGGCATAGTCCAAAATCATTTTTATTTCTCTATCTTCTTGACTCTTTTAACAGCCTAATTTCAGCGTTTAACATCCTGTCACAAAGGTGTATTTCTTGAAAGCTTGTTTCTAAGCAGGGCCTAAGCTCACCCTTAATATCCACCCTGAGGTTGTCTTGTAGTAGCTCAAGATAATTACCTTTAAATTACTTCAGTTACTTCTAATTGATTTATATTATTTTGCAAACAGGAGGCTTTTTTATATCTTCTCCCTAACTCTTAATGGTGTGTATGTATTGTGTTACTAAAATCTTAGAGTTGCAGGCCAGGCGCGGTGGCTCACACCTGTAATCCCAGCACTTTGGGAAGCTAAGGCAGGCAGATTGCTTGAGCTCAGGAGTTCAAGACTAGCCTGGGCAACATGGTGAAATCTCGTCTCTACAAAAAATTTAAAAATTGTCAGGTGTGGTGGTGCGAACCTGTAGTCCCAGCTGCCTGGGAGGCTGAGGTGGGAGGATTGCTTGAGGTCAGGAGGTCAAGGCTGCTGTGAGCTGAGATCACAACACTGCACTCCAGCCTGGGCTGAAGAAGGAAATTCAATAACAGCAATAATAGTAAAACAAAGCCTTATAACTTGTAGTTTCTATATAATAAAGTTTGTTGTGCATTATTTAATGTACTGTCTCCTCCTCAGCTCTGCTTAAGCAGAAATGTTAAACTGACTTCCTGCAAACCATTTAACCTTTATCTATTTTTCCCCACACTCTTAGCAAAGTTCCCAGGCATCTAGAAATTCCTGTTTTTCTTGCTAACCAGCTACAAAGTCACAGAGCAGATAAAAACTGCAGAAAGATGTTACTTTTCAATTGTAAAGTACACCACAAGACATGTTTCAAATTAATTAACTGTTCTTTGTTCTGACTTCTGTAAACCTGTTTACTGCTGCATCATCCTAAATGTGTAAAAGTTACCCCCTTTTCTTTGTCCTTTGCTCAGTTTTCGGATACAAATCCACTGAGCCGGTGCACCTAACCAAAATCCTCCTGTTTCACCCATTGGTCTCTCCACTCTCCTGATATCCGCAATAGGGCAACAAAGCGAGACCCTGTTTCAAAAATTAAAAATAAAAAAAATAATAAAATCTTAAAGTTGGATACCTGAGGAAACTCCTGGAAAGCTCCCATTGTTTCCTGATTTCTTTCAGAGGAACCACCAATCAGAAGCAAGGGCCTGAAAAAGTCATTTATTTTAAAAAGATAATTACAGTGTTGTATGAAAGAAGAGAAGGTTAGCACTCCCCTTGACAAAAAGATAATTACAAATGAGATCATCATATAAAATGCTAAACAGAGCGTCCCAATTCATAACAAATATTCAATAAATGTTAAAGAGAGAGAATATTACATTTTTCTCTTAGGAACTGTAGATTAAGGCTGAGCAAGGTGGCTCAAACCTGTAATCCCAGCACTTTGGGAGGCCAAGGAGGGTGGATCACTTAAGGTCAGGAATTCAAGACCAGCCTGTCCAACATGGTGATACCCCATCTCTACAAAAAATTCAAAAAGTAGCCAGCATGGTAGCAGGCACCTGTAATGCCAGCTACTCGGGAGGCTGAGGTATAAGAACTGCTGGAACCTGGGAGGCAGAGGTTGCAGTGAGCCAAGATTGTGCCACTGAATTCCAGCCTAGGTGACAGGGCAAGACTCTGTCTCAAATTTAAAAAAAAAAAAGTAGATTAAAAAACATGTAGGAAGCAACTTGATAAGAGAACCTTTCCTCAATATCAGAAAAAGACAAAATGTACAGCAAATGTTTTCCTTCCCTTCTTCCCCTTCCCCTTCTGGATGCTGATGCTTAATTTACAGCTATATTGACATAAAATAAATTTTTACACTTTCTTATTATTCTTGGGACAAGCGGAAGAAAAATTTTACATTTTCCTAAGTGAATCTATTTGGAAATGGCAAAATGAGTGACATTCCTCAGCAACGAAATTCTTATCCTTCAACGTGGGAAAAAAAAAGGATATGGCAAACCTTATGGTACTTAAAGAATATAAGACCCTAAGGTAGATAAAGAAGAGAAAAACCAAAGCAAAGTACAGAAGAAACTATAAGAAACACAGGGCAAGAAAGAAAACAATGTCCTTTCCACTAGAAAGGTTTTGTTTTTTTTTTGAGATGGGGTCTTGCTCTGTCACCAGGCTAGAGTGCAGTGGCGCGATCCCAACTCACTGCAACCTCTGCCTCCTGGGTTCAAGCGATTCTCATGCCTCAGTTTCCCATGTTTCAAATTGACTAGAACTTAACCCTCTTTAACCCGATCTCATTGGTAAAGTGCCAGAGATAGAGTTAAGGGCAAGATCAGAGAATACGTACTAAGTTGTCTATGCATAAAGCAAACTCCATGAATGCAAGAATTTCAAATATCTTCTTACCTATGCAAAACAAGGTGAAAAATTGGCCACATTTTTACAATCTTTAGAAAAAAAATTCTTCACTTAAAGTAAATAGAACTATATATACATTCACACACACACACGCACACACACACACACACACACACACACTAGGAAACTGAAAAATGTTCAAAGTATTTATCTCAACTGGGCGCAGTGGCTCATGCATGTAATCCCAGCACTTTGAGAGGCAACGGCAGGTGGATATCCTGAGGTCAGGAGTTTGAGACCAGCCTGACCAACATGGTGAAACCTCATCTCTACTAAAAATACAAAAATTAGCCAGGCGTGGTGGCGGGCACTTATAATCCCAGCTACTCAGGAGGCTGAGGCAGAATCACTTGAACCCAGGGGGCAGAGGTTGTGGTGAGCCAAGATCTCAATACTGCACTCCAGCCTGGGTGACAGGGTGAGACTCTGTCTCAAAAAAAAAAAAAGTATTTATCTCTAAGGAAATAAATTAGTGGTGCTTTGAATTTTCCCTCTAATACTCTTTTTTTAATATATATTTAAGGTATACCATATGATGTTTTGACATACATACAGTGAAATGATTACTATAGTCAAGCAAATTAACATATTCATGTTACTTTTTTCCTCTTAGGAAATTTATAATACACAGTATTATTAACTGTAGCTTTCTTTTTTTTTTCCCCATTTATTTATTTTATTGCATTTTAGGTTTTGGGGTACATGTGAAGAACGTGCAAGATTATTGCATAGGTACACACGTGGCAGTGTGATTTGCTGCCTCCCTCCCCATCACCTACATCTGGCATCTACCTCTGGGCTCTATCCTGCTTGTCTGAAACTTAGTACCATTTGACCTTTATCTCCCTATCCCCTTCCTCCTCCTCATTCCCTCCCTGGTAACTAACTTTCTGCTTTCGGTTTCTAAGAATTCAAGGGTGTTTTTTTTTCCCCAAGTCTTTCTACTCTAGATCAGTATTAGCTCTACTCAGTAAAATCCCGCAGTTACCTTTTTAAGAAAATGTTTTCAGTAATAATAACATGATTACCAGCAGTTCACGTTTGCATTTGCCATACCACCCAAGGCATGGATGAGACCTGGGCCAGAAACAACAAGGCAGACTCCTGGCCTAAAAGCAAAACAGAATTTATATTATTAACATCAAGCCAAATTTAGCAACTGATAACACTTCAGTGTGAAACATGGCAATCCTAGACTTCAAAGGAAGGACATACAGGTCTTTACTATAACTGGTAAAACAATTATTAGAATATTTTTAATTAAAAAATGTGTGTGTGTGTCTGTGTGTGTGTGTGCGTATATATATATAAAATATATATGTGTGTGTATATATACACATACTTTTTTTTTTTTTTGAGATAGCATCACACTCTGTCACCCAGACTGGAGTCCAGTGGCACAATCAGGGCTCACTGTGGACTCCAGCCTGGGTGACAGAGATGCTATCTCAAAAAAAAAAAAAGTATATATATAATCAACCTCCCAGGCTTAGGTGATCTTCCCACCACAGCCTCCCAAGTAATTGGGACTACAGGTGGGTGCCACTACACCCAGCTAATTTTTTGTATTTTTTGGTAGAGACGAGGTTTCACTATGTTGCCCAGGCTGATCTCAAACTCCTGGGCTCAAGAGATCTGCCTGCCAAAGTGCTGGGATTATCCTTCTTTCTTTGGGCATGAGCCAGAATGCCTGGCCCAAAGAAAGAAAGATTATATCGGTTTTCTAGCGAGAAGTAAGGTATCTATCACCTTCACAACTGGCCTTCATATCTGGCCTAAGTCAAGTTAATGGCAACAGAAGCAAATTTTTGACTGCTGAGTACATTTTTGTATGAAAAAAAGGTTTTTTCCATTTCTTAACAAATAAATATAGCATCAACTGACCTTTGATAGGAAATTTTGAATGCAGTGCTCTGCCCAAAATCTTTTAAAACTGAACATGAGGCTGGCTGTGGTGGCTGACATCTATAATCCCAGCACACTGAGAGGCTGAGGCAATGGATCGCTTGAGCCCAGGAGTTCAACACCAGCCTGGGCAACATGGTGAAACCCTGTCTCTATAAAAAATACAAAAATTAGCTTGGTGTGGTGGTGTGCACCTGCAGACCCAGCTATTTGGGAGGTTGAGGCATGAGAATTGCTGGAAACTGGGAGGTAGAGGTTGCAGTGAGCTGAGATGGCGCCATTGCACTCCAGCCTTGAGGCAACAGAGTGAGCCTCTGTCTCCAAATAAAAATAAATATTGAACTTGAATGTTTTACCTTTGGTGTGACTTTCTAAGCTTAAAGCACTCAGGGAAAAGGTATCTCAATATAATTCAGTTTGCCATTTTACATTTATAAAATAATTTCTTAAAAATTTCTGTTCAAGACAGACTTGAAAATAAATAATTATCACCAAGTAAACTAAACTTCTAAAACAGTACTATCCAACAAGAACTCTGCATAGTAATAGAAATGTTCTGCATTTTCAGTCTGATGTGGTAGCCACTACCGACATGGTTACTGAGCACTTGAAATGTGGCTACTACAAACTGAAAAAGTATAATTTAAATATTATTTAATTTTAATTAACTTAAATATAAATAGGTACATACAGCTCGTGGCTACTATACTTGCCAGTGCAGTTCCAGAAGTTCATTCAAATAGCAAAAATTTTTTTAAGTATGAACTTTTAACCATTTTCTTAATCATCGTTCTAGCATTTTTTACATTAAGACATTAATTAATGACTATAAATGCTTTCCAAGCTAAATGAAAAGATTAAAATATTTGTCATATGTAAATAGAGTGGCAGAAAATGGGGACAATAGTGTTACTTGATGACCCATTCTCTTCAGGCCCAAACTCACAAGTTTCTTATTACAGAAAAAAAACTATTCTGGTGAGGTTTAGACTTTGAGATCTTATTAGTTTTCATTTCTTAGCAACTCAATTACTAGTTTCATTTTTGGAAATAAAAACATGTATTAAAGCTAACATAAATGAAAAAAGTATGATACATATTACCATGAGAGTCCAAATTCTGCTTAAAAAATACATACTTAGGGGAAAAAATTGGAAGAAAATGACAAATTCTTAACAGCTGTGAGATCACAAGTGATTTTCATTCTTTTTTTTTTTTTTTTTTAAGACGCAGTCTTGGTCTGTCGCCCAGGCTGGAGTGCAGTGATGCAATCTCAGCTCACTGCAACCTCCACCTCCTGGGTTCAAGCTGATTCTCCTCCCTCAGCCTCCCATGTAGCTGGGACTACAGGTGTGTGCCACTACATCTGGCTGATTTTTGTCTTTTTAGTAGAGACAGCGTTTCACTACGTTGGTCAGGCTGGTCTTGAACTCCTGACCTCAGGTGATCCACCTGCCTCCCACAGTGCTGAAATTATAGGTGTGAGCCACCACGCCTGGCTGATTTTCATTTTCTTCTTTATGCTTTCTATATTTTCCAAAATATATGTTTTTAAAATGCATTGGCCAGGCGTGGGGGCTCACGCCTGTAATCCCAGCACTTTGGGAAGTTGAGGTGGGTGGATCATGAGGTCAGGAGTTTGAGACCAGCGTGGCCAAGATGGTGAAACCCCATCTCTACTAAAAATACAAAAATGAGTCGGGCACAGTGACATGCACCTGTAATACCAGTTACTCGGAGGCTGAGGCAGGAGAATCGCTTGAACCCGGAAGGTGGAGGTTGCAGTGAGCCAAGATTGTGCCATTGCACTCCAGCATGGGTGACAGAGTGAGACTTCGTCTCAAAAAAAAAAAGTATTAATTTTTAATAAAAAAAAGGGAGTAGTAATTAGGTAACATGGATACATACTAAAAAATCAGAATGCATAGAACAGGTCCCAGCAGTCACGTTTTAAACCAAGCATTTTTGTATTAAGTGTGCCGGGGTAGTTGTGAGATCCAAGACAAGGTATCACACATCAACTCACTATCTGGTCACCAGTGAAAATGGCAATGTGTTCCACTCTAAAACACTTCCGGTATCATTATTCTTTTGATGTGGCCCTCAGAGAGTTTTAAAATTTTTTATCTTTCATTATTTAATACAGTCTTCTATAATCTTTCCAAATGAACTCATCCTTCAGCTGAACAGCATAATGGTTCTACCCCAAAATATTAAAGTAATTGAAGTGAAACAGATTTTGGTTTACCTGCCTGTCAGATACCCAATCGCAGAGGCAGCATAACAAGCCTACAAAGAAAGAACACAGGGACTTGAGCATATTGGGATCCTTATAGTACATTTATGAGAGTAACTTACTATTAAATAAGAATCAAGAATGTATGGTAAAGGCAGAATTGAAACACTTCCCATTTAGTAATAAATGTTCTACACATAAATTTCAAATAATGATTAAGGTATCTAATTTTTTTCAAGAAATTTGTTCATATGTATGTTATTCAAAACATCCTCTTACAATTGCTTAAATATCTGCAGGATCAACAGGAATGTTCTTTTTTATTAGTGATATTGGTAATCTGTTTTCTTTTATTCTTCATCAGTATCATGAGAGGTTTATGAAATTTATCCATCTTTTCAAAGAACAAATTTGTGCCTTTGTTGGTTTTCTCTATTGTTTGTTTTCCATTTCACTGATTTCTGTTCTTGTATTTATTTCAGTCATTCTGAATTTGATTTACTTTTCTTTCTCTAGCTTCTTAAAATACAAATTTAGAACATTGGCTTTTAATTTTCTTTACTAACAGATTTAAAATGATTCCCTCCAAGAACTGCTTTGGTTATAGTCTGAGATTGTATCTTTTCATTATCATTCTATTCAAAATATTTTCTATTTTCCATTGTGATTTCTTCTTCAACCCATTGGTTAATTAGGATCTGTAGTGGTATCTCCTTTTATTGGTAATCTGTTTTCTCTTTTATTTCAATCAGTCTAGCTTGCGGTTTATTGATTTTGTTAATCTTTTCAAATATTTACAAAGTACCAAAAAGTATGTTGCTTAATTTCCAAATATTTGAGGGTTTTTTTTGTGTGTGTGATCTGTTATTGAGTTCCACTTTACTTCTACATGGTCAAGTTACATATACTTCACGTTTTCAATCCTTGGCATTTTATTGAGATTTTATGGCCTGCACATGAATAGTTTTTACCTTGTAATTCTACTTTAGCTCACAATCAGGAAGAGAGAGGGCACTAAATTAAATGCACACAGATAACCTGGAAAAATGCTGATTGCTCTCTCAAATTATTCTTCTTAGTCTGGGACATAATTTTTTCCCCAGCATTATCATTATTTCTTCTCGTTTCTTTAGAAATAACAATAAATTGGGTATTTCCTAGCCTTCATTCAGCTTTAAATGTAGTGTACTGTCTTAAAGAAATCCACATCAAAGACATAAATGTAAAAAAAAATGAATGTTTATGGATCATAATCTTAACTGGCTCCACTATCACATGCCCACTGAGGAGCTGCACCAAGGCTCTGCTCTTTTCCTGTGTTGCTATTCTCTTTTGGCCCTGTCTCTCTTCCCTTCTGCATATAAGGCCAAATTCACATTAGGACAATAATAAGACAATGCCTAAGAAATGCAGGCATGTAAATACCTGCTGCGACAAGAACACTTATTTAGACACCCAAAAGAATTGCCCACTTATGATAGCTGGGTAAGAAATGGTGCTAGGCAATGCACAATATACAACAACATGTAACAAAAAGTATATTCCTTTGGTAGTAAATGTCAAAAGTTGAGAGGTAACTAGTTTTATGACCATAAAAAATCTGTTTCAATTCTAAACTACCTCCATTCACGGGCAGAACGGCGCACACAGTACTTAGCAGATTCTGGAGCCAATCTGTTTTGATTTAAATCCCAGCTTCCCTGCTTTCTACTGTGTAATTTTGGGAAGTTGCTCTGCATCTCTGTTTCCTCATCTATAAAATGAAAATAATTCAAAGCATTGTTGTGAGGATGAAATCAGTTCATATGTGTAAAACACTCAGAATAGTCCTCATACACAGTGAGCTCTCAAGAACAATTAACTTGCTGCCAGTCTGCCTACTTGCTGGCCAATTGGTCAATATGTCTTGATCACAAAAAAGATCTAATCAAACACAATCAAGTCCAACCAACCACATCTTTCTCTTTAGCACAAACATGCTCCTGAATGCCTTAGGCTGTTTTCATATTCCCTCTGAATCATTCTGTCACTACCCTTAGTTCAGGCCCCATTTAAGTTTACCTTTGACTACCACAAAGTCGGGCTGGGTCAGGTGTGGCAACTCATGCCTGTAATCCCAACACTTTGGGAGGCCAAGGCAGGTGGATCACCGGAAGTCAGGAGATCATCCTGGCCAACATGGTGAACCCCTGTCTCTATTAAAAATACAAAAAATTAGCCAGGCATTGCAGCAGGCACCTGTAACCCCAGCTACTTGGGAGGCTGAAGCAGGAGAATCACTTGAACCCAGGAGGCGGAGGTTGCAGTGAGCCGAGATTGTGCCATTGCACTCCATCCCGAGCAGTAAGAGCAAAACTCCGTTTTGAAATTAAAAAAAAAAAAAAAGTCAGGCTGCCTGAACCTGAGGAACATATGCACTGGGATGGTCCACCAGAATCTCAAACGCATGTGTTCAAAGCTGAATATCACCTTTCTCCTCCAAATTGGCTCTTCCCTCTATATTCCCAGTCTCAGTCACAGACAAGATCCACACAATCTAGTAAGCCCAAAGTCTAGGAATCATATCCAGAGGAGCCGGCCTTCTCCTTCCTAGCTAATGTCTGCTCATCCTTCAGGACAGCTCAGACAACATCTCCTGTGGGAAGCTGAGTGGGATACTCCTTCTCTAGGCTTTGTAGCACCCTGGGTATCTTTCTATTACAACACTTACCACACTATAATACAATTGTTGGTGTCTGTCTCCACAGCTAGGTTGTAAGCCCCTTAAAGCCAGGAACAGATTATCATTCACCTCTGTATCCAGCACCCAACATAGCACATGGGACCTAAAATCCCTTGCCCCAGCTTACAGGGGCTGAAATACAACTTAGAGACAGAGGTTGTGCTATGTTGCTCAGGCAGCCTCTAACTCCTGGACTAGAGTAATCCTCCTGCCTCAGCCTCCTAAGTAGCTAGGATTACCGGCATGTACCACCATGCCTGGCATCATCTTTCTGAAGTACAAGCCTAATTACATCTCCCACCTGTTTAGAAAAACCTTTAGTCTCCCCCATTGCCTATTGTAAAAAAAAAAAAAAGTTCAAACTCTTTTTAGATTCTCCACAACCTCCCTTCAGCCTACCTACCAGTCTCACAGCTCACCATGCCTTTACCTACATTGATGGAACCACATGAACTAACATTATCTCTGCAGGCAATCTTCTCTGATCTCAAAGAGAATCAGTCATCCCTTCTGTGCTACTACATCTGTTGTGAGAGTTATAATTGATGAGTTTTTTTCTTTATCTCTCTCTCCTACAGGTTACATAGCATAATCTTTAGTATACACTACTTAGTCAATAAATGTTTCCTGTATGAAGAAATCAGTGGCAGATGTGTCATCTCTAGAAAAACAGTTAAATATAGGTTCCATTTAGAGGCCAGTAGCTTCATTTTCTCACACAGATATAAGAACAGAATGCTGTTCTAACAAAGAAAAGTAAAATGTAGAAGCAACAGAAACTCAAGACCTGCTAGTTTTAAGATAAAAAATATAAAACTCAAACTTTGCAGAAAAAGAATATCATTCGATGAATAAATAATGTATAATAGTAAGCATCTACACCATGTGAAAGCACCAACCAAGTCAGGCACTGTGATGTAACAAATGAACCGGCAGGGCATGGTGGCTCATACTTGTAATCCCAGCACTTTGGGAGGCTGAGGTGGGCAGATCACGAGGTTAGGAGTTCAAGACCAGCCTGGTCAATATGCTGAAACCCCAGCCGGGTGTGGTGGCATGTGCCTGTAGTCCCAGCTACTCAGGAGGCTGAGGCAGAAGAATCACTTGAACCCAGGAGGCAGAGGTTACAATGAGCCAAGATGGCACCACAGCACTCCAGCCTGGGCAACAGAGTGAGACTCTGTCTCAAAAAAAAAAAAACACACACACACACAACTTCTGCCCTCCAGGCACTCACATCTGATAGCAAAGGGCACCAATTAAGGAGGCAAAAGCCACTGTCTGGGCAAGAGGAGGCAAGAATCTAAATTAGAAGGCAAGAGTGGGAGTGTAAAGCAGGAATACTTAGCTTCAGCTGAACTGACAGTATGTGATATCACACAAGTGGATTCTTGATCTTTTAAGCCAGCACTACCGAAAAGGGCAAAGCTGGATTGGCAGACGATGCACTTTAAGTGGATTGACAAAATGTCATACCTTCCTTTTCCTGCTTACAAATAAGCCTCTAAGAAAGGTGGCAGCATGATGCCGTGGAAAGAGAGCCAGGCTAGGATCTGAGACACCTGAGTTTTCATCAGGGCTTTACTATTCGTAAAATCTTCCAACCTGCCCCAAACCGATCATACAACAGACTTTGCCTTCACTCATTCAACCCACAGGTAATCTCTGAACACCTTTCTTATGCAGGCACCATACTAAGCACTGGGGGTACAGATGTGTCATGAAGAAATAATATCCCTGCTCTCATGGAGCTCGTAGCCTAATAGAGAAGTCAGACTTTACACAGAAACTGTTCCTTCCAATATACTGTATGCGACATACAGTATAGTAGTAAGGGCATGGACTCAGACCCAGAATACGTGGGTTCAAACCCTGCCTCTGCTACTACCAGCTGTGTCACCAAAGGCAAGTTGTATGTCTTTTCTCATCTGTTAACTAGGTTTAACAACAGTTAATATTCAACAGTGATTGACGTGTGCAAAGCAGCAGGACAGTGGTAAACACTATCTGAGTGTTTGCAATGCATATCTACCGCTATTACTGATCACTCCCAGTAACGGATTCAGCCACCTGCGCCCATACTCACCGCTTGCTCATTCCTCATCCCGATGTACTTGATGCCTAGCTGCTGGGCAGCAATGGCGATTTCGGTTACTGGGATGCCTACGATGCCAAATATGTACTCCACATCCTGAGGGACGAAGAACAGGGAAATAAACTCCCAGGGCCCCACCACAACGCCACATCCTTCCCTCTCTTTCAGGTGCTAAAAGGAAAACCCCAGACTCCTATCGCCCAGGTCTACTCGTCTCCAAGACAACATCGCGGTCCCCGCCGGCTTCCGTAAGAGCCTTTCATTCCAGGAGGGTCCGCCGTACTTGCGTTTTGAGGGCCTGGGCGATGACTTGAGCACCAGACATCTGCTCCTCGCTGCGCTCTGCGAAGTTACTGTCCGGCATCTTCCACCGAAAAGCTCAAGGCACTCTCGCAGTCCACAACCAAGGGGAATCACCCAGCAAAGCAAATGCGAAGACGGCGGCACGCCACCTGTGGGGCCGCACCTCTGACGGACAGGAGGGCAACCAACTGCCTTAAACAACGGGAAGGAAGAGGCGGGCTAAATTCGCCCACTCCCTGGGAGAAGTGGGAATGTAAACACGCAGTTTCTCCAATCAGAACCGTACTCTTTTCCCGGCGCCTCCATTCGCGTGGCCAGAGTACCAGAGGGAGGCGGGAGTAGCAGGAGACTGCGGCCTATGCCGAGCAGGTAAGAAGGCGAACTCTGAGGCCTCTCGCCAGGGTCTCGGAGTCCGCTAACCGGAGCGTTTTCGGGACCGCTAAGTGGGAATAGCGCATGCGCATGTTCGGGGCGGAAGGCGCGCTGAGAGCAGGTACGGAGGGGGCGTGGTGCGAGCGCGCCGTCCAGGCCCCGCCCCGGGCCGCCCGGGAAGCTGCGGGCGGGTTGCGCAAAGGCTGCCGGGAGCTTGGAAAGCGTGGCGTGCGGCTCTTGCTGTGGCTCTTTATGCTTTGCTGCTGTGCTACCGAGTTGCGTTTTTCTAGGCTTTTACTTACACGCTTTATGGTTTACGCTCTCATAACCTTGTGGTTTTGTGGTTCTTAAATCATTATAACGCACGTTACTTAAATCCAGAAGCAAATGTGTACCCCAGCAAGAGATAAAATGACACCCAGTGTCAGTAGATCCAGACCGTGCTTCAGACCTTGAATCCTGTTTCCTATTCGCTATTCAGCCATTGGGTCACACACGATGAAAAGAGCACCTGAACGTACCTAGTTTTGAGCACTGTTTTCTCCATCCCTTGCTACTGACCCGTATTACTCTCCGCTGTTATCTTTACAAAGTCAGGCACTATGGCATAAATCTTAGGTTCGATCCTACTTACAGTCAGCCCTGCACCTGATAGCCTTTTAAAACATTTTTGTGTGAAAATTGTTTGCAGTGTGCGATTTCTGAAACTACTGCCTTGGAGTGATCAGACCCATCTGCTCAGTGACAACAGACCTAAAATTTCCAATTATAATAAACAGTGGAACTTTAATTTTTTGAGGATTTGGGGTCATTTTGTTGTAACCGAGCAAGCGCGAAATTACCACTGAGACAAAGACTAGGCCAAATTACAGGGTCTTTATTGCCTGCCGCGGAGGAGGACTCGAATCTCTGTAACCCACGGCCAGAAAGGAGGGTGTCAAGACCTTTTAAGCACTTAAACCACCTCCTGGGCGGCGGTGAGGGCGAGGGACTTCAAACATTCCGAGAGCCAGTGGACTATGGACATTTTGTAAACCACCTCCTTGGGTGGGGGAGGGGGGACTGAGGGTGAGGGGCTTTGGACATTCTGAGGGCCAGGGGACTTTGGACATTCCAGTTGTTACTTAAGTGGTTCACAGAAGTCAAGATAAGCGTTAGTTTACACATCGTCTGGGTAAGGTGGAAGTTACGGACCTTAGTTACTTACTACAAGTCGCAGGGGCCAAGGTGGTGTTGGTTTGGACTGCTTGCCTGTCACATTAGGGTTGCAGAGAGCAGTTTCAATGGAAAGCCGAGGTATGGTCGAGGTATGCAGTTTATGGGGCAATTACCGTGTCACATTCCCCCCTTGTTTTGTTTACAGGAATTAAATCATTTATTCCTCCAGCAGGTTAGTATTGTTTGTTTGTTTTAAGGGCCTATATTGAAACCTTAGTAATATTAATTTTACAGAGTTTACGTTAGATTTAATGAACCTGAGAGTTGATTGAGGAGGCAGGGGCAGAACATGAGTCCCAGTAGGAGTAGGGTCAGAGGTCCCACCAGGCCCGTAAGGAGGGAAATGAGCCAAGGGGACCAGGGAAACATTTTTTTGATACCAACTTTTTGAAGCCTTGTTTTCTGGTTTTGAGATTTTGTTTGACCAGGGAGAGGCTCTCTCAGATGAGGCCTGACCTATTAGCATAGAAGCAACATTGTTTATTAAGGGCGCACATAATCCCCCTTGTTTTGAGCATAATAAATTTAGTCCTTGCCTGTTTTGGAGGACCATTTTAGCCAAAGACTTAACCTGATCAGTGAGTTGGAAAATGGAGTTTTTTAAGTGGCTTAGATCAGTATTTATTTGCTGAGAGAGAGTTATAAAATTTTGGTCCCCAGTTATAAGAGCTGATATTCCAACTGTGGTGGAGCCAGCAATACCTGATTTAACCAGTAAAAGGATGATGATAGGGATTTACAGCATGGATTAGGGTGGTGAGGGTGATGACCACGAAGTGCACACAAGTCTTAGTTTTAGTGAATTGAGGGATGAGTGTTTGACACTCTATTGTGGGGCAGTCTTGACGTGGGTGTGATGAATTTAGGCGTTTGTCCACCTTGAGTGCGGTGGGTGTGGTCAGGATAACTGTGTAGGGTCCCTTTCAACTTTGGGGCAGGGGATGAGGCCAGAGGTGGTGAATTTTTAACAAGGACAGAATTTCCAGGCTGGAAGGAGTGTGTCGGCTGGTCTGCAAGGTTTGATGGGGTGGGACGGGTGTCTTTAATGAGCTGGTGTACCTGGGATTGAACAGACTGGAGTGCCTGCAAGGACTTAAGGGGTGTATAGTTATGGGCTTTAGCATGCACGGTATCCAAGGGTCTGGGGAATAAGGGAGGGGGCTTGCGAAACATGATTTTAAAAGGGGATAAGCCTTTCTGATACAGTGTGCATTGGACGCAGTGGAGGACAAAAGGAAGCAGGCTGACCCAGTTTTCACTGTTCTCTAGGATAAACTTTGTTAGGGTTTCTTTTAGGGTCTGGTTTATTCGTTTGACCTGTCCTGAACTTTGGGGACGATAGGCACACTGTAATTTCTAGGATATACCCAGGGCCTTCGCCAGGCCCTGAGAAATTTGTGCAGTAAAGGCGGGCCTATTTTCTGACCCTAGCGTTAGAGGGAGGCCGAACCGAGGAACAAGGTTTTGTAATAGTTTTTTTTTTTGTGTGACCACTAAAGCAGTCTCAGACTTAGTGGGGAAGGCTTTGACCCATTTAGAGAACGTATTTATAAACACCAGGAGGTATTTATAGTCATTTACTAGGGGTTTTATTTAGGTGAAATCTACTTTTTAGTGCTTTTTAGGGCTAGTTCCTTTGAGTTTTACCTGGCTAGACCTGTTTTTTTCCGGATTTACTCAGGCACATACATTACACTGAGTAGTGACTGTCTTGATAAGTTTATGTAAATGGGGAATGTAATACTTGGCTTTTAGCAGCTCAGTTAGTTTGGTTTGTTTTAAGTGAGTGGCCTGGTGTGTGTTTTTAACTAGGGCCCATCCTGGAGCCTCGGGGACCACGATTTTTTGGTCTGGCAGTAGTCACCATCCTGTGGAGCCCTGTGTGGCACCCCGTTCCTTTGCAAACTTCCTCTCACCTGAGGAGTACGTGGGAGTAGGGGGCAGAACTGGGCGAGCAGGGTTACAAGGAGGGTCAGCAGCCCTGTCTTCCCTTGCCTCTGGTGAACCCCCCTTTCGGTGTCCCTTGCAGTGGACTAGTGCCACAGTCTTAGGCTTCCATATAGCCTCCAGCAGGGCTAGAATTTCCTCTTTATTTTTAATAGTTTTTCTTTATATATTGCTCTGTGTAAATGAGCTGTAGCGAAGGCATAACGGCTGTCAGTATAAATAGTGACAGTCTTTCCTTCTGCCCAGTTTAAGGCTTTTATCAGGGCCATAAGTTTAGCCTTTTGGGCTGAAGTCCCATGAGGAACGGCCTGGGCCCAGATGACCTGCTCTAGGGTGACTACGGCTGCCCCGGCATACCCGACTCCGTTGACCATAAAACTGCTGCCACACGTATACAGTACCTCTTCCGGGTTCCATAAGGGGACGTCGGTGAGGTCCGGGTGAGCGGTTTGGATGACATCTATTATTTGTTGACAGTCATATATGGGTTCTTCTGGCTCACTATTAGGCAGCAGTGTGGCCGGATTTACAACTGTAGTCTTCAGGAACTTGATGCGGGGCTGGTCCGAGAGAAGAGCCTGATACTGTACTATGCGGGCATTAGACATTCACCTTCCTGGAGCCCCGTGGAGTAGTGATTCTACTGCATGGGGTGCTACTAGGTTTAATTCCTGCCCCAGAGTCAGTTTCTTCACTTCTTTTACTAACAGGGCTGTTGCTGTCACGGACCAAAGACAGGCGGGCTACCCAGAGGCTACAGGATCAAGTGTTTTTGATAGGTAGGCGACTGGCCTGGACCATGGTCCTAATGTCTGGGTAAGCACCCTCTTCGTGATTCCTTGTTTTTTATGTACAAACAACTGGAAGGGTTTAGAAATAACTGGCAAGGCCAGGACTGGGACCAAGGTCAGAGCGGCTTTAAGTTTATTAAAAGCCTGTTGTTCTACTACTGTCCAAATTAGGGGTTGATTCCCTCCTGTGCAGGCATACAGAGGCTTCGCTATTTCAGCAAAACCTAAAATCCATAGACTACAGTACCCTACCATCCCAAGGAACTCCCGAACTTAGCATTTTGTGGTAGGGGTGGGTATCTGTAGTACTGCTTGGACTCGGCTGGGCGCCAGTGCCGGTTTGCCCTTTTCTATAATGTAGCCCAGGTAAGTAACCTTTTGTCTTTTATTTACATTCCTTAAGTCCTGTACTCGCCGGTAATCCTTTGTGCTAGGTTTTAGAACAGGGAGCAGAGGGGTGTTCCAGGGTGACTTACAGATGGTGAGAATTCCTCCTTCCAGGAGTCTTGTTATGTGCGGAGTGATTCCCTGCCTGGCTTTCTGACTCATTGGGTATTGCCGTACCTGGACTGGAGCTGCCATCACCAACAGTTGGACCACAACCAGGGTACGGTGTTCTGCCAGACCTGGGGGATTGGTCTTAGCCCACACTCCAGGTACACCCTCCTGGAATTGGCGGAGGAGGTTTGATGTTAATTCCTGATTTGTTTCTTGAGTATCTGTAGCTTCCTGCAAGAGGTACTCGTCTGACAGAGCACAAGTGATGAGGATTTGCTGAGGTGCTTTCGATACGGAGGGCAAAAGGGGGCATAGAGAGGCAGGCTTGATTTTTGCAGAAGGAGATGGTTGCTCAGAGTTTTTGAAGTAGGTCCCACTCTAA